AAAGGATTCTTTGGGTCCTCAAACAAGATTTTCTCTCTCTTTTGTCCCTAAACCTTCTGATAATATTTCACTTCACAACTCAGAACTGAGAGTTGGTGGAATCAACGATACTGCTTCTTATTCATGCTGGTGCTATACAGAGCAACTCTCCGTAGGTCTTCTGTCAGGCTGACTGCTTTCCAGAGATCATTTTGCTCTTTGTCATTAAGTTCTTCATTCAACATCAACATATTTTGCTCTTTCATCAGAGACCAGCTGACAACCAGAAAAACCTCTGAAACTACCAGTGATCTGATGTTTACATTTTTTTTTTACTCAGAGAAACAATATTTAAGTACAGTCTTAAAAAATTCAAACACAAAAGTATAAAATAAAAACTTAGTCCCCTTCAATCTCTCCTCTCCTAACCTCTTTTACAAATTGTTAACAGTTTGGTGTATATCCTTTTAGATATTCTTATACATCTATGTAAACAATTACTGTTTACTTATCTGCTTTCTATAAATTGGGATCATACATACAGTTCTGTTTATTGCCTCTCAAGTTATCAAAATGTCTTGGAAATCTGTCTGTACTTGCAGAGCTATCCCAGTGGCTGGCAAACCGTGGCCTGGGGGCCGAAGTCAGCCCACATCTGTTTTGTAAATACAGACTTATTGGAACATAGTCACATTTATGTCTTGTCTACGGCTGCTTTTGTGCTGCAAGAGCTGGGTAGGGTCGTCACCACAGACACCTAATAGTCTGCAGAGCCTAATGTACTTACTATCAGTTCCTTCACAGAAAAAGCTTGCCGACCTTTGATCTATTCTATTTTTACTATTGGCCTAATATTCCACCTGATGAATAAATTATATTTTACTGTTGGACATTTAGTTCCTTTAAAATTTTCCACAGTATGAATAATGCTGCAATGACTAAGTACCAAGGATTATACCTTGAGAACTCTTCTTTATTTCTTTATTTATTTTTTGGCTGCGCTGGGTCTTTGCTGCGTGCGGGGCTTTCTCTAGTTGCGGCGAACGGGCTACTCTTCATTGTGGTGTGCGGGCTTCTCACTGCGGTGGCTTCTCTTGTTGCAGAGCATGGGCCCTAGGCACGCAGGCTTCAGTAGTTGTTGCTCACGGGCTCTAGAGCACAGGCTCAGTAGTTGTGGCACACGGGCTCAGCTGCTCTGCGGCATGTGGGATCTTCCCGGACCAGGGCTTGAACCCGTGTCCCCTGCATTGGCAGGCAGATTCTTAACCACTGCACCACCAGGGAAGTCCCGAGAACTCTTCTTATAAGCGACTGTGTAATAAGCAACTTGAGAAAGGTGCCTCTAATTACATATTCCAACCACTAAGAAGAAAGGATCATCATGTGATGTGATAGAGGTGCTAAATACGGCTACAATGGCAATCAGATTACAATATATAAATGCATCAAATTAATGCTCTGCATTCTTTAAGTTTACACAATGTTACATGTCAAATATATTCAGTTTTAAGAAAAAGAGCAAGAGAAAGGTGCCTGGCACATTCGGCTGCTCAATGAATATCTGTTGACGAACTGCTTTTGAATGAACCACAGTGCCTTGCAGAGTTCAGGTAACTGAAGATAAGAAACTCAAATGCATACTTACTGGTAGTTAAATGTAAAAAATAAATCCAGTCTGAAGTCATCAAGATCTTCTAGAATATTCACCCAGCTCTCCCCCTACTGAAGCAGAGGACAGAGTGGAAGCCATTTTCTCTTATATATATATATATACATATATATATAAAATAAATATAAATCAGAACAATCCACTGAGGACACAGAACACTGAAGTATGTGAAAATCTCCATGAGGATTCTTCAAGAACTACTTTCATTCTTGAAGTTTTATTCAGTTATTTTTCAAACCCACCCCTTGGTTGTGTAGTACTCTGAGCAGTAGAGAGCATCACCCTCAACTGGGGAGAGGATGTGTGGTCTCAGGGCACATAGTGGGAGCTGGGACTGAGACCCCTAAATAAAGCCAACAGCTTTAAACTAAAGACTGTAACAGCCATGCTGAAGGGCCTGGAGAAAGTCCACCTACTGGCCCTGCAGAAGCAGCAAGGAAACCTGCCCTCCCCAGGACCCTGAGTGAGAATTCTGTATCACATATGAATCCAGGGTCCAAATTTACACCATCCATATCTCCTGGAACCCTGAGTTAAGAAATCTTCTCTAGAGGTTTAATGGAATCCCAATCTAGGAATGATGAAACCCTGAGGGATCCAGCCGAAACAAATGCAGAACTGCTGCATCACACGGTCACTGTGACAAAACAGGGAATCTAGAGGTTCCCACGGGAGGGAAAAATGTCTTATAAAGCTGAAGCTGAACTTACAAAACAAAAAAACCCAGATACCATGTAAGGAAGCAAACTGCTATGAAGAAGCATTAGCAAATGCAGAGGCAAGAGAAGATGTTGAGAGTTATTAAAAGTCCCTAATGGAAAGAACAGAATCTATACTGCTCAGGGATTTTCTTTTCTGCATGCTCAGTTACGCATTAGTTTTCTAAAAAATATATTTTATTGAAAATACATATTTAAAAATTACGTTTTATAGCAGAAAGCAGGTGTTCAGTGTGCTGTACTGATGAAGTTCCTTGAATATTAATTTCATGCTGCCAGTCAAGAAATATGACCTTCCCCTATTCTTCTCTGAGACCAGTACTCCCAAAATGGAGATCAGGCACTTGGCAGGAGGGATGCACAAAATGATTCTTTGAAATAGAGGAGGAAATTTTTACAGCTCTCACTTATATTGACTTAAAAGAGAAATGGAGTTAATATATAGACTGATAAATGGGTGGCTCACTCAGCCTGTGTTAGGCAGCTTCCTGTTATGTTTGATCCTAGAGGATTCTGGAAGGAAGAAGAGGCCCTCGGAAGGTAGGTCAGGGATGTGTAACAGCTTCCTCGTTCATTTACTTTCAGCATCTTGTGATGAATGGGAATTTACAGGTGCTCAATAAAGTAAACTTATAAATTATATTTAGTTTCAACTAAAATAAAATGAAAAAGAGACAAATTCCTGCAAAGAAACTGTGCATCTAGGACAATATTAAGAAGACTAATAACTAACCAGCAAACAAGAAAATGGCAAACCTGACTTCTCATTCCTAGAATGAGCTCCTTGTAATCATAGTATAGGACATGTACGTAATTTTTTACACACACATTACACACACACACACACATACCCCGTGTGAGTAGACTAAGTATGTTTTAATGATAGATAAACATACTAAAAAGTGCTTGGTGACTACTGCCCTAGACAACCAAGTTATTCTAGTATTGAGAAGCTGTCTGTGTCCAGTGGCTAAGAAACTGAACTGGTGACTGGTGTCCTAAGAATGAGTCCTATTAGAACCTGGGCTCCAGAGTAACATGCTGGGGGGATATTGAACAGTGACAGTCTCGAGGTCACATAAAATGTGTTACTATGCTGGAGTCGTTATCATCGTCCCAGTAAGTCACACATGAAGGAGGACATAAATGTGTGTGATATCTGCACACGAGGATGAAAAAAGAGATGAGAGCTCCCCGGAAGTTTTCTTTAAAAAAAAAAAAAATAGGACAGTAAAACAAATATGGCTGTAGACAATATTGGGGTATAATATATCCATAAGAGGCATTTTACAAGCACATGAGTGTTAACGCCAGTCGTTTAAAAAGTCACAACAGCTGCAGCGTGGATAAGACAGGCTGTGTGCCAGCTGTCACTCCACTCTTTCTCTAAATATCAAGGAAGCAAGTGAGTGGAAATTATTATTGCAGTAACTTAGACTCTGCTCAAATAAAGTTTTAAACATTTCAAATTTCAGTAAGTTAACTATTTTTAGTAACAGATCACTTGGGATACTTCACATAAGTGACTGAAATCAAGACAATGTCATGACATCATGGTCTGAGAAGTGCTTCTTGGAGTCTGAGTTAGTCACTATTTGGTCTGAATTGGTTACAGGTATGACAAGATCCAAATCACCTCAGCCTCTGGAAGAGTGGACCTTTACACTGGCCACTTCTGACCACAAGCAGCCTCCTTGATTTTCCTTGGTGTGCACTATGAATATTATTACTTTCTATCTGTGTGCAACCACAAAATTTTGAGATGTAGTGCCTCAGAGCAAGGATCTGCAAATTAACAGCCTGTGGGCCAAATCTGGCCTGTAACCTATTTTTGTATGGCCCATGAACTACAAAGGGTTTTTACATTTTTAAATGGTTGAAAAAATAGAAAAGACTAATATTGCATGACACATGAAAATTACATGAAATTCAAATTTCACTGCCCATAAATGAAGTTTTACTGGAACACAGCCATACTCATTGGTTTATGTATTATCTATGGCTGCTTTTGCACTACAGCAGCGGAGTTCAGTAGTGTGGCAGAGACTGTATTGCCCATGAAGTCTAAGAAGTCTGCTATCCAGAAAGAAAAAGTTAGCCATCCTCTGTCTCAGAGCATATCGTCAAAACCAGGAACCATGTTCAGTTAACAGACTTGGCTTTAAGGTGGTAGTAAGCAGGTCAGCAAGAGGTCAATACGGAACGTCTCTGCACGCGAAGGTACTCTCCCTCTCCCTTGGCAGTTTCCATGACTTGACGCTGGTCAATGGCTGAAGCATACACCAAAGTACTAGAGCAAAATGTGAGCATATACGACCTGACAAGGGACTGCTGGGTAGCTTGAGGGTTTGAGGTTATGAGACTGTTTTCATGCTGACATGGACTTCTGGAATAAGGTAGTGGCTTAGGGACAAAAGGACAGGATATTTAAAATTGGGCTGTCTGAAAAAATTATAGGCTGTATGTTATATACCTAGAATTAATTTCTTCAATGCTATTTAAAGAGAGATAGAAAAAGGGCTACTTCTCCACATAAACGAGGAACAGATTAGGGGTGGGAAGGACAGGAAACTAGAAATGAGTTTTTCTGAGCCAAGAGCGTTCCATCACACAGGAAGAAGCACGTCTCTTACTTGCACAAGTATAGGCGTCTTTGTTGGTGAACGGCTTCGTGCACTGGCTACAGCTGATGGGACCCACAATAGGGATGGAACTGAAAGTGTGCCCGTTCAGAGTCTTCTTGTCCTTCTCCTTCTCTCTGGCATCTTTCTCCTTCTCCTTAATTTTATCTTTCTCCTTTTCCTTTTCCTGCCAAAGAAAACAATCGACAGTTAACTGAAGGCCTTCAGTTAACACTGGAAGGCCTTCCCTTCTGGAAGGGTACCCAGCTGGCATGTGGTCAACAGTGGCTGGTGAATGTTTTGGATGAAAATTTGGAACACTGTCCTGGACAAAATTTTTTTTTATTAACCTGTGGGCACTTGAGCTACGTTAGCAAAACCTTAAGAGGACTGGGAAGGCTAAACAGTTCTGTCAGTGGCTTATTCACTGGTTATTTATGCCAACAGACACATTCATTGCCCAATGACCAGCACCAGAGAGAAAGAGGCTTCTGGTGCTGGAGGAGGAGTCTGCAGTGGCCGTGAATCCTCCTCAGTGAGCCACAGCTCGGCCCATGGGGGAAGCCGGCAATGAGCTCAGGGCCAGCTGCAGGCAGGAAGCAGAAGAAAGGACGGTGACAGTTCTGGGACCAGCCTGAGGGAGAGGAAAGATGATTGGGCAGCATCAAAAATGGCTCGAGGGTCCCCTCTGACTGCCTCCCAGCCATCACATGTCCCCACGTGAGGGCACATCTCTGATGTTTCCTCCCTTACTCTAGCCAGAAATATTAACTATCCCCCCACATATACATTTTCTATTCTTACTAATTAGAATTTCAAGGTTCATAGATATTAACTTTGGCCCAATTTTCAAATTGGGGGAGGAGGGATTTAAACCCTAAAAATTTAAAGAAATACTAATGAGTGCTAGATCCTTAATAAAATACCCAAAGCTGCCAGGGACATTTCAGGTACACACTACTGTCAAGAGACGAGGGCTGTGGGGTCTAACTATATGCTCTCCACAAGAGGTCCTTCACAAACATGGTTAGGCACACGCTCGGCTGGTTAACCAATACCAAATGAATAATTCTCTTTCAAACTAACTGGACCATGAACTACAATTCACAGAGGTAGGTAGAATGCATTTATTAGTTGTCATCACCACTAGCCCTGGGGTACCCATTTTCCAGGGCATACAATACTACTGTTGTAATCTAAAAAAATTCCTGGAAAATAGGTACCCCAAAGTCAGTGATCCTGACAACTACCAAATGCCTTACATTTTAAATCAATGCCTTCTACATACATTATTTCATCTGATTCAATACTTCTGAGGTGAGTAGGGTGGGCATTATGCTTCCCATGTTCTAACTGAAAAGAGCAAGATAATAAACAGCAGCTAAAAGTTTGAACAGTTACTGTGTGCCAAGCACTGTAGTATACAATTGACATGAATTTTCTCATACATTGGGTACAACCCAATGAACTAAGTACCAGCTATGATCTCCATTTCACATTTGAGGAGACTGAGGCTTAGAGATGTCTCATACTGTACTGGAGGCCACACACCAGTAACTGCCCAAGCTGGAATTAAGTTCCAGATCTGCCAACTCTAAAGCTCAGCTCTCATTCACTACGCTCTACTGCAAAGGGCTGGAGAGGTCTGTTGACTCACAGAAGGTCACACAGCAAATGATCTGCAGTTAAAATCAGAACCCAGGTCTTCTGACTTCCTATTCAGAACCCATCTGCTATACTGAAATGGTGAATATTTGCTAAGTCTATGATTCATGTAAACTCCTTTGTTAACAGAATGAATATCATAAAACTCTATGAGCCAAATTGCTACACTTTAGAACCATAAAAAATAATGGAGAGGAAGGGAGAAAAACAAACGACTTCACTTTACAAAACAGGAAACTGCTCTGAGTGAAAATTCGTAACTGCTAAAGTATGCAAAACTAATGAAAATAATAAAAATTGAGTTTTTCTAATAATTTCTTTCTTTTAACTAAATTTTGCTAAAGGCTTCTTCATACATAAAATGTTAAACTGAAAAGCACCTGACATTTTGCTCAAGAAAGCTTAAAAAAAAGCATGCTGTAAGAGTTAAGAAAATCTTCTATGGGGACTTCCCTGGTGGCGCAGTGGTTAAGAATCCACCTGCCAATGCAGAGGACACGGGTTCGAGCCTTGGTCTGGGAAGATCCCACATGCCATGGAGCAACAAAGCCCGTGCGCCACAACTACTGAGCCTGCGCTCTAGAGCCCATGAACCACAACTACTGAGCCCACGTGCTGCAACTAGTGAAGCCCACGCACCTAGAGCCCGTGCTCCGCAACAAGAGAAGCCACCGCAATGAGAAGCCCGCGCACCGGAATGAATAGTCCCCGTTTGCCGCAACTAGAGAAAGCCCGCGTGCAGCAACAAAGACCCAACGTAGCCAAAAAATAAATAAATTTAAAGAAAAAAAACCTCATTTCTACCTTTAAAAAAAAAAAAAGAAAAACAAAACCTTCTATGGCAACTCTCTCAAGCCTTGCAATGCTCTTCGAATCTGAATAGATAATAAATTATTTCCTCATCCTTTGCAACAATCCAAACTAGCTCCTCCAGGGATAAAAACAACAAAAAACAATAAACTCCACTGTCTCTTTCTGTATTTATTAGGTTAGTGCTTTAAAGAAGTCAGGCGCTTACCTCCCCATGTTTTGGTCCTATGAATCTCACTGTTATAAGGGGTGCTTCATGAAACCGACCCCATTTTACCGACATGATTCGATCCCCATGCCAGGAAATGTGTTCTCACGGAAGGAGGGGCTCATGCCGGCGGGGCACAGCCCAGCAGCTTCGAGCTGCCATCAGAGCAACCATTAGAGAAACGGTAAGAGGAAGCCACGGACTGGTTGAGAAAGGGAAGGAGGGAGGGCTGGGGCTGTTTGTTTCCTTAAGACAAGCTTAACTATTTGCACGCTGCCAGTACAGCCAACCACCCTAGTTACAAAGAACACAGGACACGAACGAGAACAAATTCCCCCTAACACAGTGTGTGTGGACAGTACTTAAGTTGCAAGATGGGAACTCTGGCAAGACTGAGGCCGATTTTTTAACACCAGAAGTTAAGGAACACATCTGTTTAATTAGATGTGCTCATTTTATAAAAAGCAATACATTTACAAAGAAAACTTTTTTTAGTGAAGTTGTGCCTGTGGGTAAGGCGGTGATTGGTAGTTTCCTGAAGTTTGACTTTTCCTTAACACCTGCCAAAATGCTTTTTAAACCTGTCTGCTGGGGAAATAGAAACTAACAATATTTAAAGAGAAAACTGCAGGTAACAACTATACTAGGATACTATGAGGGAAAGTGATATTTTCGTTTTTCTAAACCTACCACTTGAGACAAGTAATTATAATAAAAAAAAAATCAGAGAACTTTCTGGAAAACTGTGGAGCATGCTGTGATTACGCAACTGTCACACTGCAGGTCTTTAATCAAAGAAGGAACGAGAGAGATAATGGTATCTAATGCTGATTTAAGCCTCTGCAAACACAACCCTACCCTAGTCGGCACCTTTGAAAGGCGGAGGGGTTTAGTTCTTTTTTAGACACACCACAGGAACTGGGAGTTGAAGCTGAATGTCTTGTTACGAAGTCATGGAGTACATTAACAGCTGTGCAGGAGTCTGATCCTTACATCCGAAAATGCCTGCTTCAAGTCAGATTAAGAATCTGTCTCAAACATCCCTGTCTCCCTGTTGTTTGCAAAGAGGAAAGCTTAGAAAAAAGAAAACCAGTGTGACAGGATGGTTTAAAGAGGGTCACCCCACGCCCTCTGTGAATGTGGACATTATGCATATTAGTGTTTAAATACTCTGCAGCAAGTAAACTTACTTAGCAGGAAACAGTACTACCTCTTAAAGATACTAAAAGACAAAAGCAGAAACTGCCAGTCTTCCTGTTATACTTCCTGTTTAGGTTCTCCCTCTTTCAAAAAAAGATTCAAATATTTACCTAATAACTCATGCCAGTTAATGAGAATTCTTAAAAGGACATATAAAGGATGAGTACTCAATTTCCCCCAAATTTCTCATATACTGGCTACCGGTATGAGAATATATGTATAATATATATAGTGTATACTATGTTATACATAGTATATTATATATACGATAGAGTGCTTATGCTAATTAACATAAAAACCAGTGCTAACATTTATAAGTAGCATCTTCAATTTTTTAAGCATTATGGAGAACTAACATTATTCAACAGTTAAAGAGTAGAGCTAGCATCATCAAAACAAGAAATTATTCATTTATTTTTGTGTTATCCTTTAGAGAATAAAATACTTCTGAATGGTAAAGCTCTCCTGTGGGTACAATGGCAAATAAAGACAAGGTATTTAATTTTAACATAAAATATATTACTTCACCATTTCCCCTATTTCTTACTATCTTTGGTACGTTGACAAAAGCTGAGCTGTCCTATGGGGGGATAAAACAACCTTATTTAAAGTGAGCTAGTAACAATGATCAAAGATGACTCTTAAGCTTCTTAATATATTTGGCTACTGGGGCACCTAAACCCCTGATAATGTGAAAAGAATTGCAATCCAGGGTTACAGGTTTGTAACTTTTTGTGAATTTCCACCACTAGAGATAGCAAGCCCCCAGAGATCAAACCTTGAAGCCAAGGGCCTGAAAGAGGAAGCAGCCTCACTGCAAAAGAGTGCTGTCACTTTGACAAAGGAGAAGATGGGAGGTGACAGGTCAACTGATGCCGTCTTGCCACTGACGACAGGCTGCACTTGTACACAAATTGCCTTCTTTTCTCCTGCCCCTTCTCTTCATCCCCCTACTAGCAAACTCCAGTCCTTTGAGGTTATGAAAAAAGTTAAAGGAAAAAGATACTGTGCAGTAACAGTTCACTCTTGTTGAAGAGTGAACATGAAATGAAGAGTTCTACCTGCTAGAAGTCAGATCACAAGGTATGATCTAGTCTGTTACCTGAAGCATACTTCTCTGCGCTTCAGTCTGTAAAATAAGGAGGCTGGTGCGAGACTTTTTTAAAGGTCAGGTCCCAGTTTCTAAATTCAGTCTTACATCATTTCATTCTTGTCTGTTTGTATTACCTCGTCAATGCGATCAGTGGTGTATTCACTGCTCTGCCCTTAAGTCAGTGGTACTAGGCGGTGGATGGAAAGGGGGATCTCCACTTTATACTGGTCTTCCAATTAAAAAGTTAGTTTGAAGAAAAGAGTCCACATTTTAAAAACAAGATAAAAAACAACAGAAACATTTGAAATCATCCAAACAGATCATAAAAATTTTCAAGGTAAAGACTATGTGGCTTTGGTCCTTCCGGGTGCTTGTTAGTACCCAGCAGAATGCTGATTACAGAAGCCACTCAATAATATTTGGCCAAATTATACTGAACTTTCAAGGAGATTTTCTTTTGTTGATGCCAACCAGTGTCCAAGCGAGCAGTGATAAGTAAGATAGATATGGTTCTATTTTAAGCCTTGCTGCCATATGTAGAATAATGATAAGCATTCTGCCCTCTTTAACCTTAATTTTTTTGAATTATAAAACAAGGCTGGGCTTCCCTGGTGGCGCAGTGGTTGAGAGTCCGGCTGCCGATGCAGGGGACGCGGGTTCGTGCCCCGGTCCGGGAAGATCCCACATGCCGCGGAGCGGCTGGGCCCATGAGCCATGGCCGCTGAGCCTGCGCGTCCAGAGCCTGTGCTCCGCAATGGGAGAGGCCACAACAGTGAGAGGCCCGCGTACCGGAAAAAAAAAAACAAAAAAAACAAAAAAACCCCCAAAAAAACACAAGGCTAAGCATGAAGTTAACGCTTAAATATGTGACTATTCTAGAAACGATTTGCAAGACTCTTTTCCCCTAGAAAATTCTGAATTTATTATTCCAAGATTAAGTATCATTTCTACATTTTACACTATTTATTTGTAAAATAATAGTTCACGATTTGCTAGACTCTTTGCATCTTTTCCATTTTGCCCACTTTCTGTCCATTCTGCATTTGGGCAGGAGAAATGAAGAGAAAACACAATTCTGGTGGCAGGTTTTGTGGAAAAATTTATCTGAGTGATGACCAAATCTAGTATCTGCTAAAAGAAAGAGATCTTATTTACAAAACTCAGTAAAGTACATTGGCTCTATTTCTACCAGCCCACTTACCTAAGAAGCTTGTCTGCGTTTGCGCTGGTGGCGGGGGTGTGGGTGGCGTGGTGCATGCACTTTTACAACGATACCCTTGGCGTCCAGTGCTTGTTTATTCCCATACTTCTAAGTATGTACGTACCTGTGTATATGTGTCTAACACACACACACATATATAGTGATTCCTGTGCAAGAACTCCGTAACTGATTTCCCTTTTTTTTTTTCTTCTTACTTTGCTGGAGTTTGGTGGGTGAATAGAGTGTAGGGGAGTGTGAGGCAGAAAGTTTTTCCCCACTAATTTGAAATGGAATCTTTTGGTTTAGCTCCAGGAATTGGTATAAGAAAGTTAATGCCTTTTCTTTACCCCTTTCTTTCTAAAAATACATGAAAAAAATATTAGAAGAATAGTTATCTCTACGTGGGATTATTACAGGTAATTTTTATTTCCTTGTTTTTCCCAGATAAGGTACCTTACTCCTAGAAAAGGGAGATAATATCTACCATACACGGTTGTAGAAAGGATTAAATGAGATTCTATATGGAAAGTTCTTACCCTATAGTAAAAACTCAATTGGTGGTATCACCTCTTATTGTTATTTTCCTTGCTGTTAGTCTTCTTCAAATATTAGGCTATTTGAGCCAGCATCTCTGAACTTATTTCCACCTGTCCCCATCATTTAATTAGTTTCCTGGTGTGTGCAGGTTGTGCCTGGAGCCTACTGAGGGCCTGCTGAGGTGGCCACACAGAAGCGCCCACGAGAGTACTTACCCTGCTCTTCTTACTGCTGGACATTTTATTCTTGATGTAGCTGAACGTACGACTGACTTTTGTTCCACTCTTCCCTTCAAAGTCTTTCTTGGAGGGGCTTTGTGGCAGGAAATTAAAGTTCTCTTCTGTTATACTAAATAGAAAAAATAAGAGTTTTTAAAAAGATTACAGAAGTTGAGTTTTTAAAATTACAACGCTCTACATATAATTCTTTGTAACCATCGTCATGTATTAATTTTAGCTACAAGTCACAGCCAACTTATATACTCACATGAAAATGGGAAAAGGAATAAGAGGTGGACAGAGGCTGCTGAATGGTTTTATACAATAATATCTATCTGAGAACAGAGCACGCCAGAATGCCCATGTTCTAATGTCAAAGCTTGGCTAAGTTTTCTTGTATCACTTATTAGTGTTTTACTAATGGGTTTTTGTGATCTGATGATAGAGTCTAAAGATCAATTATTCATTAATTATTTTATCTGAAATTTTAAAATCTAAGCACCCATTTATAAACTTCTTTGCATTAAATACGTGTTTGAAAAGAAACCCGTATATGTGATGCAAACCAAGGAATTTTTATGACTGAATGGATATCCAAGTTCCCTAACAGCAGAGATCACACCTCTTTTTCAGTCCTCTGGCACACTGGACAATCAATACGTGAATTCAGCTATGCACAATTTTAGGCAGGCAAAACAGTAGGCCAAACTGACACCTAGTGTAGAAAGATCCATTCTAGGAGTTTCACAGAGATCCAGATGCACTGACCTACTTGTTTAGGACACCTGTATTCTAAGTTCACCCATGATGGGCATGTCTGGACCCTAGGAAATTCACAAAGGTTGATTTCCTCAAAGAATGCTGGGCCCTTGTACACATAATAATTTGTATACATATACAATTATGTACAGTTGTATACATAATCTATTATATAGAAATATTCAAACTACTTTTCCTAGGTGTTCTCGAACAGTTATATTTGAAGTTTTCCATAGAAAGTAGTGTTTGCCTCAAGGGCCTCTGTGAGAGGGCAGACAGGCAGAACCACAAGGGCCCTAGTCAGTAGCTAAAGTCTATTTATATATAAAATATTGTTTACAGTATAAGGCAGTCTGTTACTAAGATAAAGGGGAAATGGTGTGAAAATCACCACTCTAGAAAGAACGAAGAATAGGTAAACTATGACAGAAGTGCAAAGAAGAGCACTCATATTGAGAGAGTTCTGGATCACTGAGTCACAGCTGACGCCTTTGTGAAAAGGAAGGCGACTTAAAAAACACTGTGGGGTAACAGTCAGAACCCCATTTATGCTTAGATTAGAATATTTAATCTCATAAGCTTGAAAAGAGGAATACAAAAATAAACAATGAGTCAAAATAGCAATCTTTTGCCTGCTGTCAAGTAAAGAACCAATTCACTTATTTGGACAGAGGTGTGTACCATATCAATGTATACAAAAGAAAATAGCTTTAAAGCTTAAAATGGCTAAGAAGGCAGCAATACTGCATTAACACAAACACACACACACAAATTATGAAACAAAATGTTCTTAAGACTTAGGAATTATAAATTCCCATAAGCAAAGAGTGCAAAGTTCATAAAGCTAAATATAAGTGTATCCTTATGTGAATAAATGCAAACAATAATCTTTATTATTCAGATGGTGTAAAGAATAAAGGTGGAAAACTATTCAAGACGTTAATTAAAAAGGATATAGCCTTCATTAAAAAAACATTTCTAACCATTATTCCAAATTTATCAGTCAAGGAAGTAAGATTCCAATGAGCTCAATTAACTTAGCTTGCCTAAATGCCGTAAGACATTTCGGATTTCCTTTATTTCATCTTGGGAAAAGGAGTAACAAAATAAATATATAGTACCTCTCAGTCAGATTAGCATTGGTGCTGTGGAAGGGCCGTGAATCTAGAAAACAAGAACGGTAGAATAAAAGTTAGAACAAAAGGATTTTACCTGGATAACAGATAAAATGTTTAACGTTTTTACGACTGACACAGATAAAGCAAAAATAGCCTTTGAAAGCCAGTGTGGGATGCCTTCTCCTCATGAGGGTTTGGAAGAGGGAAAATTAAAAATGAAACCCTCAAATCAGAATTGGAAAATTGGCAGCAGTGGGGAGTGAATTTCCCATGTGGAAAAAAATTTTAATCCAGGATTCAAGTAACCAAATAAACCCCAAATCAACTTAAAAAAAAAAAAAAAAAAAAAGCTCAAATGCACGTTTAATTCCTGTTCTCGTGAAGGTACAGAGTCCATAGGCCATCTTTCTGAGATGATGTCAGGGGAGAAATATACAAAAGGAAATTAAATGTCATCCTGTATGCTGTTAATTTTGCTGTCATATATTTCTATGCTAAAAATCTAGCTAATATAGGTCTGATATTTTCTTAAGCATTCCTAGAAATGGATTAGTGAACAGGAAAGAGCATCAGAGCTAGCCTATAAGGTCTAGGCCCTGCCACTAATTTGGGGTGAGATCTCTGGATTTCATTTCTTCATCTATGAAATAAAGAAGATAAAACAGATGCTAAGGTTCTTTCCAGGTTGATACTGATCAAATGAGTAGGCCAGATACATTTTTCCTCCTTCCACAACTATCAGACTGTAAACTAAAATGGGTCATTAAATCTAAGGCTAAGTCAGATAGGATAATAAGTAGAACAAATACAGAAGGAACAATACCATTATTTTACCTACGACATGTTAATCAAGGTTGAGCTACTTTAGGACTTAGATGAGAGAAAGGCCGCAATCACACAATGATTAATGGTTTCCAAGGTTTTAGGAGATCAGGTATAGAAACACTTTCGGTGTATGATTCCAGGTAGACAAAGGTTGCTCTGTATAACTACTGTTATAATGTGGACAAAACACACCCTTTCTCCTTGAGGTTACTGTGAGTAAAACTTTAATTTGATAGAGATTTGAAAATGTTCCACTACCAGATTACCAGCATTTGGAACTCTTAAAAACTCCAAATTGTTCCAGATTCTGAATAGAAATGCAAAGTTGAAGTTATTACTAACATACAGCCAACAGGTGGAAATAACGCATGAGAAACTTAAAAATGAATTCTAAGTCTTCAAAAGATTGCCTTCTATAGTTTTTCCTTTTACGTATTTGGGCTTCTTCTTCTATTTCAGTTATAATGCATGGTAACAGTAGCCAGAAGAAAGAGAAAGATGAAGAGTAAGATCTGGGATCTATCTTCCAGCTCTGCATGATCTAGGTGTGAAACCATCAGCATTTTAACATCAGAATGCCTTAATTTACTTAAACAAAAATCAAGAGTATGGTTTAGATTTGGGGGCTTTAAAAATTTTTCCACTCAAGGAGCCCTGAATGATATAAACAGCATTAAATTCTCTCAGGCTGCCAGGATTCTGTTGTACACTTTATCAATTACCTAGTAAGTTACCACCCTAGTGATATGAACAAAGTAAAAATAAAACCCATAAAGAAAAACACCAACCAGCAGAGAGCATGGCCAAGAATAAGCTCCCAGAAGGTCTCTGTCAAATAAACTAAAAACAAATACGTGATTTGAATACTGGGAGAATCTATGACTCCTATAAGGATTTCCAACTTTTTGGCTGCTGAAAGGTATTTTAATTCATTTACCATGACCTCTGAGATGTGGTTCTGAAAACAGTGATTAATCCACCAATGTTTCTAAAATCAATGCCCCTGAAATTCCTAAAGTGTCATCAACTTTTCAGGGCATCTAAGAATATGATATAACCAATGTTACTTCCATGATATGATGGTAGAAATCTGTCATTGAAGTTAGCCTATGAAGTACTGTTGCACGTAAATAGCATATTTCAACTAGACCTTTTTTTTAAAAGGCATGAAATAACCTGCAGACCTAATATAACAACATTCCAGGACTGGAACTACTGGATGGACACAGTCAATATTTTTTAAAGTATGTTCCTTGGAACACTCGTCTCATGAGATGTTACGCATCATCATGAACATACTGTAGTTACCTAGGTTAGTAAGTCTGGGAAACACCGCATACTGAATGCTGCCTTGGAAATTCACAATATACACATTAGCCTTTGAAACCTGCTTAAACCAGTTTCCTAAATTTATACGGCCTGGAACCAGCCCTTTCTTTTTCTTCCTTTTCCCCCTTCCCCATAATTCTCATTGTATTTTTGAGTTTAAGGAACACATTCTGAGGAATGCTGGATATTTGATTCAAAGGTTTCTTCAAGCTTCTATACTTTTATGATTACATCAGGTTGGACTAACTGAGTAACCAGTGCTGATTTACTGAATAACCAGTCATAATTTTACTAGTGGTAGAAGAAATACTACTGGGACCTTAGTTTTTTTTTTTTTTTGCCGTGCTGACCTATTTCCCAGCATATTACAAATACTTTGAGATGAAACAGCTTTGAGAATTTCTGAACACTCAAAGTTGCAGACGGATTTTCACAACTTCCCTCCTATGACAACTGGTATAGACTGAATATCTTGTGTGCCTAAACCAAATGCCTTTTAATTGTGAGAAAATATTGAACATATAAGACCTTCATTTGTGCATAAGTCACTTTCCTTTAAGAACAATGCAAAATTGTCACCCTGAGCTTGATATTGCTTAAATATTAAATTTTAATATTTAAATAATTATTTAAATATTGCTAAAACTTAGGATCACCAAGTGGTAGGGAATTAGGATGCTTAATCATATGGATATTGTAATTGCCTGAGACTCATATGAGTTATATGAAATGAAAATAATTTATTATTTAACTTTATATTAGAAGTAGTTTTTCCATTAAAAATAGCAATCCTGGAATCATCTAGAAATCCTGCACAATTGAGAACAGTGATTTTCATGTGGGTGGGGGGGATTCATTTCCTCTCCAAACTTACTAAAACTGATACCTTATAAAGTTTTTAAACTAGGTTATTATCAAGTAACAATATAATAATCTGAAACCTACAGTGTAGTAAAAGGATTGAAAAATAAAAGTTCAAAAGGAGAAAAGGTAGGGAAACAAATATCTAACTTCCACCCAATAATCCATGTGGTTTAATCTCAAAGAAAAGGTATTCTTAAATAAATGGCCTGGGGGAGTTCCCTGGTGGCCCAGGGAACTTTCACTGCCATGGCCCGGGTTCAATCCCTGGATGGGGAACTGAGATCCCACAAGCCGTGCAGCATGGCCAAGAAAACTCCAAAAACAAACAAAAAACTGACAAAATTAAAAAAAAAAAAGAAATGGTCTGAAAGGTGAGAAGAAAAAAGTTTAACATTAGTTTATAAGTATCACAAGTGGACATCTAGGTATCTGTCCCATGAGACAAAAAAAGCAAAATAATGAAAATGAAATTTACATGATCAAATGGAAAGTTTTGTGAAATTACTACTCAGCATTACAAAAGGTACAAGGTGGGATGGGAAGCCCTTATGCCTTTGAAGGTATCTCTGTTCTGAGAGGGTGTCTCAGGCCCTGGAATCAGGTCACTAGTTCTGTCAGCACTGGTAGTATAGAGACGACAAAAACTTTGTTGTTTTATCCAAATTAATTTTCAAAGCAAAGCATGAAGACGAATGATTTAGAAATGATGACATGCAAGGGGAGAAAAGTCCCCAAATTTCTTAGTACCAAGCCTACAGCATTTTCAGCACTGGTCAGACACTGGAGAACGGCCATTGGACCCCAAAGTTGCTTACTTACTATGCAACTCTTCCTCCTCACAACTGGAGTAAGAAGAGCCAAGAGAAAAGAGAGTTTTAGACTTAAGGAGGAGCGGAGAGATGCTGACGGAGAAGGAGATCCGCCTTGTTGGCTGCATCTGCTGCTGGGCTGAGGAGTGGGTGGACAGAAGACGTTAGAGCACGCAGATCATACCAGAACAGAGTGAAAGGCACCTCAGACCCACAGTGCCGAGAATAATGTCACTGGCCTGGATGATTCCAGGAGAGGCTGTCTAGGTGGACAACGTAATGTACTCACATTTTCATCTTTATTTCTGAATATGGCAGAATTCTAAAGCAGCTTAAGAAAATTCATCCAACAAATACGTACTTGTTAGATTATGAAAACACGAAGTATATTACTTTTCACAGTCATCATTTACAGCTGGAGTTTTTTTTCCTTCAAAGTAAGGAAACGCCTGGAGTGGTGGTGTCCCTCAGGATCCCGTACTTGGCTCTCTTCCCCCTCACCCCAAACCCCCTCATTCACTGTCTCCCCTTTGAGTACAATCTGCATGTGATATAGTGGTGACTCCACAACTTTCTATTTTCAAGCCAGGTCTCTCCTTTGAATTCAAGCCTCATTCATCTCACTGCCCACCTGTGGGGGGATATCCCACAGCAGCTCAAACTGAACAAGTGCATATATCAACTTACCCCCTTCCTCCTGACCTGTTCCTCCTCCTTTATTCCTTCCTTTGGTGAGTGGTACCTAACATCTAACTATCCAGAACACAAACCTGGGTACCATCCTTGAATCCTCTTATCACATCACTCAGTCCTTTTGATTTTGCCTTCTAGAATTCTCTGAACATCAACTTTTCCCCTACTGCCAGTGCTCTACGGCCTGGTTCAGGCCACCATCTACTCTCACCAGAATCCTGCAATAGCCTTCTACTGATCTACCAGCCTCTCCTCCCCAACACTTTCTTCAGTGTGGTCTCTCTGAAGGGTTTGAATCAATTAATTAATCAATTTAATCTACTTAAATCGCTGCATTGCCCTCAGACAAGAAGCCCAAATTCCTCAGTCTAGCTTTCCACATACTAGTTCACCCAGCAAATTCCTAGACTCCTCTTGGTCTCGACTCTGGTATCACTTCTCCCCAGTAAGCCTTCTCTGGTGTCTCAAGTCGGAGGCTCCTAAACACCCAACGTTGCTTTCAGTTGCTGCATTTATCATCTTCTGTTACACTCAACTGTTCTCATGTCCATCAGCTTAAGTGTGGTGAGAAAAGGAACCGTGTCTGGAAGTTCATCCCTCTCCTTCCACTGTCCAGCCTGGTGCCTAGCAAAGAGTAGGTACTCAAATGTTTATTGAATAAATAAACAAATTAATAAATGAATTTCCTTTTGTCAGGCTTTCTAGAAGCTCAATAACCTAAATAAAATGAAGGAAAAAGCCCTGTATCTACCCAACACAAAAGCCACTCCACACCCCAGATAAATGCTAAGTGATGACAGACTGCAGGGTGCAGCCACTGCTCGTAACAGAGATCACCTGGCACAAATTCATGTACACTGGCTTTTTAGGCAGCGACGGTCGAGTACAAAAGTAAGATACCATTTTAATGTGTGTTCTAAAGTATTTCCAAATGTAAAGTAAATTTAGGAGATGAAAATGAGCTCTCTTATTACCCCAAATCTAAGAGTATCCCCTTCTTTTGTCACACGATCATGGATCATAAAGAGAAACCTACTTGTATGAATAAGGAGTATCTTCAACATATATGGAAAGAATGTGTTCTATTAACACAGGGATTCAATTTTATAACATACTCAACTTTAATGACTACATATATATTCCAGCCTTGCAATATAATCAAAAAGACCAATATAAAAAGTCTATTTGCCTGACTTAATTTTTGTTCTGACAAATTTGTCAAATGTTATTATCTTCTCCAAACAGAACTACCCTAAGAAAATAAATGTATTCCAATAAAGTCTCATCCCACTGTCCAGTTAGAGAGAGAAACTAAGCACAGAAAGTAAAGATAAAATATCCTCATTAGCATCGATGCCTAACTTTCTATACGCCCACCCTGATCTTTGGTCACATGGATCATTTAGCTTTGAAGATCTGGTGCATTTTATATATGTAAATGCCACACTTCAAGTTCTTAAGACCCACTTAGCTTTCGTAGTCTAATGCAAGCTATACAATTACAAGCTAGTGTTGCCATCAAAACATGCATAAGGAACTTGGTCAATTCACACACCATGAGTGAAGGTCTGAGAATGATTCCAAGGACAAGTGCCATTTGTGAACACCGTTCTTTGTGATAACAAACCCTGAAAAATGAAGGGCAAAATGAAATCTCATTAAGAAGCCCAGGAGGTTAAATTGTCTAATGGGTATCATTCTCTTTTTAATATTACCACCACTAATATGCTTAGCAGGGATACAACCAAATAGTTTACTGTTTCTAAGCATCTTCTGGGTGCAAGCAGTGAAAAGTTAAAAAATATAGTCTTGTTAAGGGATTGTCTGTAATAACTGAATTATTCCATATCTGCAAAAATAAAGTTTGTTTTTAAGCTCTACTGAGAAAACATCTGAGTCTCCTGGCAAGCTGTAAGTCTCCACTCAACCCTATGTTGGGAACACATTTCCTGGAGCGGTTCCTCTGAGGGCAGTCCTCCCCGGCATTTTCCCACACGACACACACAGCATCAGTGTTATTCTGATTCCCTGAAAAGATGAGCCGGCAAGATGCCTCTGTCATGTTGCCCCCACCAAGACAGCAAATCGAAGACATGGGCTAGGACAGCTTTCCTGCCCATTACGGTTCCTAAATCAGCTGTCGCCCATCTACTTTCCACCCCAGAGAATGACACAGAAATATTTTAGTTGTCGCCTTTATGTGGTATTGTCCTCTACATCAATGAATTTTTGAAACAGATTCCAGTTTGGGAATAATGCTGAGTTTCTCTGTTTTTCTAATCTGGCCAGTGACCCAATGATGGGATATTCCAGACAACAGCTCGGTGGACACACGTTTTCAGAAATGCTCAAATGGTAACAGCTATGAAAGGTTGTGGGAGAAGCAGCTAATTTCCTTCAAGGTAGAAGCTAGAACACAAGTAATAGCTGGGAAGTAGTGAGATGAGGCTGAGTTTAGGAAGTATTTTGTCCCTAGACAAGCACACTCATAAGACACAGCCGCTTAAAGAAAATGAGGGATCACGTTCTAGTTTCTTCATCATTGCTTAGACTCTGGTCAGAGAAAAACGGACCCCAGCACTGCCTGTACACTGTGAACTCATTCCATAAAGATAACAAATGCTTATCCTAAGCCAGGAAACACGCTAATGTGAACTTTAAATAAATTCAACTTAAGCCCTATCATATTATTAGCCCTGTTTAATAGTTCAAGGACCCAAGGTCACAAAGCCACTAAGTGTGCTTACAATAAAGCATTAGTTAAAATATCTTAAGTGTACCACACACTTTAGGCTTTAAAACCACTGGGTAGGTTTTAATTATGATAGTTTCAGCAAGGACGACCATGGCCAAAGATGACTCATGCAGAGTATTTAAGGGATCTGGAATGAAGATTTGTGTCTGCGGCAAGTCGAGAACTACCCAGTTACCCTGAGACTTAAAGGCACAGCATGCAAGATACAAGTTATAGCCTTCTGTTTAACAGCCAGAATTTTTACATCTGCAAAAAATTTATGTTTCTAGAGCAGAATAAAAAAGTACAGTGGGGAAAGTTAATTGTATATGGGGAGGGACTAAGGAGAAATACTGTCATTAGAGTTGATGAGCCCTCCAATTATACTATATGCTAACTTAGGGAAGTAAGTGGGGCTGGCTAATCATTCCAATCTGCATGAAATGTACATGACAAATCAGAATGAGGGTACTCTACTTTGATGAAAGGGTTGGACTCTTGCTCCAAGCTCTACTCATGACAGCAGTCAGCTACTGATCTCAGTACCCCTCAGTGAGCTGAGCCACAAGTCCCCAGCAACGAGATGTGCCAGAGTTCCTGGCGCTAGAGGACAGTGTTTCCTGGGGGTGACCTGCATCATTTAGAGTGCTGGTTAGCAACTGAAAGCACAGTCAAAAACCATCTTGTTTTTTGGAGGAAAAATAATGAAGTGTTTCATGTATGAGGCAAGAGAGTGTGTCACAGAACAATGGAAAAAGCTCTCTCTCCAGGACACATTCTGTTGGTACTGGGCAGCTGTTGCTGCAGGAGCAGGCCCTTCACCAGGCCACGGGAGGAGCGGGTGCAGAGCTGAAACGCCTCACGGACTGTCTTTGGTTATCAAGTTTTAGTTTTCTGGGTTCAAAGCCACTATAAACTATTTTGTTATAATAATTTTCATTCTATACCAGCAAAACCACTAACCCAAAGCGAAATCAAGACCAAACCAAACCAAACCAAGATCCAAACAAAAACAGGAACTGCTATTTCAGTCAAGTTCTGTGAGGTTGTACCTGTTATCTTGGGGAATAAGTCATTATTAGGCACCTTTAGTCCAACAGGCCAGACTGGTATTTTAAGTACTAACCATATGAAAATGAGGACGAAGTTAACAGAATTATCCATTATGCCTTAACTCCACCATGGAAATTAAGAAAATGAGGCCTCTAGTAAGTCAAGAACGGACACAGAACATCCCATTAATACAGGGCAGCTACTCCTGTCCTCAACTCTTTTAAGATGAGTTATATATCAGGGGACGCTGAAGAAACACCAGAAATACCAGGAGGGGTTATACCCTTTGCTTCAGCCTCCTGAATACATGATCTTTCAGCAAAGAATGTAATGTACCATACTCTCTTTGATGAGAATTTAAATCTTTATATCAAGATCCCACACTGCAACTACTCATGAAAAAGAAATCTATTTTTAAAATAAAACAAAAAAAGTGGGGTTTCCCGAAGAAGCCTTTCTGTGGCAAACATCTGGATCCAATTCAAATATGTTTTCGAGCATCTTTAATTTGCAAACGCTCTGTGCCTGTGGATGCCCGACGTCTCTACTAACTTTTATAGTCATGGATCCTGAATCTGCATACAGCTCCAGTAATCATTTTTGGCTGTAATCCTTTTGGCATTTACTTAACTGACTAAAAATGTATCTCAGTCTCTCTCTGTCCTTCAAGAGCTTGACATTTTTAAAGAGCTCAGGAAACTAGTACTGGATAAAATGTGGATAATTGTACTGTGGTAATATAAGAAAATATCTTTGAGACATAAGAGCATTATATGTGTAACTTACTTTCGAATGTTTCAGAAAAATCCTTAAGGACAGAGATAAAGACAGGGAGCAAGATGGATAAAACAAGTGTTAAGATAACATTTGGAGGCTCCAGGTCAAGAATATGTGATTATGTCTTTGCACTGTTTTTGCAACTATTTTAAAAAATAGTTAGTTTTAACTAGAAAATAGTTATAAATAGTTAAAATATTTTTATTTATAAATAAAAAACAGTTATTTTTAACCGGAAATTATCTCAAAATAGAAAGTTTTAAAAAATGTTTGTCAGGTTTAGGCCTAAGAATACAATGAATTTAATGTGTAAAGGAGATTTTTATGTAGTAAAAGGAGGAAGATCCCCAAACTGAACTCTGTGTCACCTTTCTTGTAAATGATGAGCCATTCATTCAGAGGAACAGGCAGGCAAATGCTGTAAGGTAATGGCATAGGGTCTTAAAGTGGGGAAAAAAAAAAAAAAAGAGAGAGAGAGAGGAAGAATGTTTAAAATATAATATATTTAATTTAAAAAAGTAGTATACTCACTGTCCAACCCAGGATGGCTGATTGTCATTAATGAGATGGATTTTGTCAATGGAGAAGAAATGGCTGATGTACAGTAATTAAATCCCTGTTGTTTAGATCTGTGACATGTCTGTGAAGGAAAAAAAGTAAACAGGTTCTGAGTATCTGCTCTCATATTTCTAGATAAGCACCAAATTTCACATTCTGACTCAGCCTAGGGAAATGAGGCAGTACACAAGAGGAATAAGAGCACAGGCTTTGTAGTCAGAAGTCTCCCCCGCCACAAAACAGCTGCTCAACTTCAGAGAAGCTACCTAGCTTTTCTGAGCCTTAGTGTTCTTATCGGCAAAATGGGGATAGTGAGAGTATCCATCCTTTACAGTTGTCCCATAACCCTCATAATACCTAATGACGTTTCAAACTTCGTAAGTGCTTAATAAAACATCTACTGAATGCATAATCAGATAAAAATAATTTCACTGGAAATACCAAAACTACATATAGTTCTTGCTCTTTGAAAATCTAAATATCACTTACAGATATAGTAGGATACCAGTAATGTTCTTATTTTAAAGAGTTGGAAACAGAGATACAAATAGAACGTGTTTTAAGATCACAAGCAAAGTTGCCTGTGCATCTGGACAGAAGCCTAAATCATTTTCACTTCCTCTTCTAAGATTACACTGCTTCTACATGAACATGAGGGTGACTGGAATTTGACAACTGAACTCCCTCAGTAAATTCACAGCCACTTCAAGGCCATGTAATCCAACCCACTGCAGAAGTTCCTGCAACAAAACCCATGACAGTCAACTAGTGTTTATTAGTATGGTTCCAGTGATGATGGGATCCCTCTCCTTTTGCTTTGAGAGAGGCCATTCTAATTGGCAACTAACTTTAATTACCATAAATCTCTTCCCTTCATAGTAGGCTGAAATCTGTGCATGTCGAAAGGGAAGCAATGAAAATCCGTTACCAGGGTGAACTCAATTGCGCCAAAGACTTCTGATTATTTAGAGTTTGTTCCATGGGTAACCATGGAGTCTGAGGCAAACAGCTGCTATGTTTTGAATACAACTGTGAGGTCTGAAAAATGACATCAGTGAAAGGCAGAGATCTTCAACAGGAAGTTGGCTGCAGGCAACTTGTGCACATCAGTGATACCAGCAGCTCAAATATCCACTCTGAGGTTACACACAAGGTGGAAAACTATGGGTGGGCAGAGCCCCTGGGAGACTAAGCACACAAGGTGCTACACTGTCAACAACTTCAGCTAGGCAGACTCAATCAGAAAGGCCATTAGAAAGACATCACTTACTATAAAACAGGGTCACAGCTAAAATTCCTAGGAATGTCAGTTCAGGAAAGGTTATTACATAAACAATATTAAGAAAATTAAAGTGTTCTCATTTCCTCATTAAAAGTCATCTACTTCAAAGACATGGAAAAAACAGTGAGGCTAACAGTCTGGAATTCTGAGTTTCATACTGTTCAGCTAATAGCCAGTTATGAGGCTTAGGCAAGTCACTTAAATGGGCTTGAAGTTCTCACACACCAAAGCTTGAGCGGAATAGGAAGGGGTGTATTGGCTCTAAGTCTATGATTCTGTTCACAAGCACACAATTTTTGGTATTTTATGTGGTCCTACAAATGACCTCCAAAGGATTCTATACAGGTAAAATGCAACTTTTTCACTTGTCAGACTTTGCACTTGTCAGAGATGCTCTCGGTAGTCACCAAATTACAGTTTCCTATTTTTTTCCTCCCTCTTCCTGTTACCATTAGGCTAAATAAATCTAAACCATTTACTTCAATGAATATATTCTCTGTATTCTTATTTTTCTTAACTTTTTCTATAAGGTATCAGGCCAAGCAGCCACGGGTGGGGGCCAAAAGGAGGTAAAATTCCTTTAGGCCTTCAACTGCATTTTCCTTAGGCCTAAATTCTCTTAGGCCTTCACATGAGCATAAGCGATACATTCATTACTAAGGTAATCCTCTAGTGACAAATTTATATTTGGTCATATCATTGTTATGTAGCAGGATGTAATAAAAAATTAAATTTCTACACAAAACCTTAGTCACTGATTCAAAGAACAGGTTAAGGTTTTTGTTTGTTTAATTTGAAATGTTTCCTTACATTTCTATCTAAAATGCCAGTCACCTATTCAGAGACAGGTGTTTAACTTTTTTGTTTGTTTAATTAGACATGTTTCATTTGAATGTGTATCCCGGAATCCTCCCAGAAGTTAATCCAAAGTCTCCTCGGCCGAAGAGGAGGAAAAAGGACTCAGTGGGGTAGGATGCTAGAAAAGCATACGATTCAAATTCTCAACTCAAAAACTCCCTGATGGTAAGTGATAAAGAGAAGATGAGAACTAAGAAAAAGTCACTTGGTCTGGTGGAAAAGCAAGCCCAGGACCCTTCAAGACAGGAATTTCAAGAGCGTGATAGTGGTGGACATTAGGTGGGGAGAAAGAGAAGGCAGGGAGTGCAGACGCTGTCTCAAGTAGCTTGGCAGTGATAGGAAGCAGAGAGAATACTTAGTTGTTGCCTAGACAATGCGATGAGACAAAGAATTTTTCTTCCCCAGGAAGGAGAAACTTAGGATATGTTTTTGAGAATTGGGAAATTTAACAATGGTAAGTAATACACTTCAAGACTCATTTTACTACTGGCGTGGTAAAAGAAGTCCTCAGACAAGAAGAAAAACTCAATTTAATATCCTGGATACTCTCCTAATTTCAAAATGTTTGCTTTGCTGGAATATTTAAATCTATGCAGATTAATGGCATTCTCTAATTAGTATTAAGTGCTAAAAAACTGCTGTGTGCTACACGGAGAATATTATATAGTGGGTAAGTAATCATAGCTCCTAGCCTTATATTAACATAAATCTTGCCTTCTTTGTTCCTAATATGAGGACATATTAGGGAAATAAAACTAATTTTTTCCAAATTAGCAACATATACCCATTTCAGCCTTACCTGCTGATCAAACATCCTATGTTCTCTCTGGCCTGATTCCAGATCCTCTTCTGAAAGTGACACCAACGAGTCACCCCTTTCCTCGCCACTAAAAGGGTGTCTGAGCTCTTTGGTGTTCGAAGAGTTTACTTCCAGAGATGAGGATGGCTTGTTTCCAATACCAGCTCCTCCTGTCAAGCCTTCTAGACTGAAACTGAACACAGAACCAAGAGTTAATTCATTCTATTTCTGAGTTTCAGAAAGGAAGGAGGATACAAAATCCCTTTAGCTGTATCTCCCTTGCTCATAACTATTTCTATGTCACCCAGCAAAACCATCTGCAAGGGCATGGCCATGAGCGCCACCTACCATTCTCCACAAATATCCTGGTATGCTGAGAAACGCGCTGCACTTAAGATTTTTTTTTTAAAACCTCATTCAACTTATTCAAATGCTGAACCACTTAAGGTCATTTTCTCAGATATTTTTCAATATACCATATGGACAGGCCACATTAGCTTATTGATCTTTTATTCATGTGTGTTTTTTTCCCTTGATCTGATGTGATCAATCTTTGCCAGAATCTGAACTCTGCAAATGCCAAAGAATGAAATGGCACAGAGAGAATATGAGCATAAGTAACTTCCAGAAGGCAAAGAGGGAGACCTAGACTTGCCCTTGCATCCATCAAGTGGACCTTTATAACTTTACATTCAACTATAGTCTAGTTGACCTTTATAACTTCACAGGTATGCATCCACCCCCAGAAATCCCACATTACGTAGGAGCATTAATATCTGTGCACACCTGCCCGGACAACAACTGCTTTGACAGGTTTCCTGAGACTTGTTAGCTGCAGACAGGCACATGTGACATCTTAAAGGGCAAAAGCTGAAAAGCTACTGCATCTAAAAGAGGTTTAATCCCCCCCCCCCTTGCTTAATACTGACAAAGGGGAAAAAAGCAAACTTAAGTTTTGGTATCTAAAATGGGATCCCTGGAATAGACTATGTGGTTTGCGGAATGAAAAGCATTTTTTTTGTAAGCAGGAGGCTATAGAGAGAGGTTGGCCATCTATCATCCTTGGGGTTGCTAGCCAGAATAATTCACATCCGGTTACAACTGGATCTCAGAATACAGCTGTAGCGGACCATGTCCTCAGTTACAAGCATCTGGAATTGTATTTGAAGGTATACTGAAGCTATTTAGTTATCTCTGCTCAAAGTTAATTGCTACAAAAAATTTATGTATGCCAGTCTAGAAGGGTTTCTATTCGCTCTTTTTCCCCATGAATTACTTATTATGAACTGAAACCGTATGCCTCTATTTTCTTGAGTGAGTAAATTAAACAATGGACTTTGTTTTTCTTATTTCAATATGACAATAGAAATCATGACTAACTACACATAAATGTCTCTGTAAAACTCATTTTCAATAGCAGGGATAAGAAGACAGACTAAGTGAAGAAATTTAGTTTTCTATTATGAATTATTTGTAAAGCCTGGGAAAGCCAGATCTATGCTTACCACAAAATTTAAACCTGAAAATGTTTTAGTAATTAAATCTGGCTGCTTAGTTGAGAGAAGAATATGCAGTGATGAGGAATCTGTGAGCTTGGAATCTAAACAGATTGGTTGGTGGTCTTTTGTCACTTTGTTATACAGCAACAACTAACACAACATTGCAAAGCAATTGTACTCCAATAAAGATGTTAAAAAAATAAAGAGGTCGGTGGATTTGGAAGTGTAAAAAGATGAGTGCATCTTATTAGCTGCCTTATTTCTGTTATTTTTTTCCTCAGGATGTAGGAATTCCTAGGATCTGGGAATTAGGACAGATCAAAACAAACAGAAAAGTGATTTATCGTACCACGGAGACAAGTCTGTGCAGAAAACACCAAATCTATAGCCACTTGAGCCAAAAAGGATGCATCAGGGTATACCATCTAACTCCTAGGCTGTACCCCTTCAACTGGATCAGTGGTGCCCACAGCAGAGGCAGCAGAACACTGTGCTCACAGCCAAAGCAGGCTGCCATATGCATTCTAGCCACACAGAAGCCAGCTCCAAGCCAAAAGCTCAAGTGCCATATTTTATGATTCCCCCTTTGGTGGCTGGACACACAATACCATACCTTCTGTAATTAAAGTCAGCACTCAGAGCAGCAGAGTATTGCACACCAGAAGGACACCAGCTCATACTGGGGATGACATCAAAGGAAGAAACAGAAATGGAAGAAGAGGAAACAGGGATGGGATTATTGGGTTTAAAAAGAAAGGGCATGGTTAGAGACAAACGGATTTATCTGATTATCAAAAAATTAGGAATGTAACATTGATTTAGAACTTAGAAAATGCCTGGAACAAAAAACATGGAAACTTAAAACTGTTCTACTGATGTCCATCTACATAATGTGTTGGAAATGACTACGTGAATTCTTTACAGGATAACAAGTCCAATCTTGGAAAACCAAGAATTCCTCCTAGAGAACACTGAACAGAGAATCCACCCTACGTGTGGCTTCTTCTTTGTTCCAACCTCCACCACTGGGGACAATCTCTCTATACATCCCACCACTCCTACAACTCCCTTACCACAGTATCTCCAATCCTTAACTAAAAGGAACAATGACAAACTGCACTAGGGTAGGCTCACCGAGTCATCAGTTTTTTTCATGTTTCCATTAAGGATCCATCTAAGCCAGACAATTCATATATCTTTCATAATGATATCCAATCAACACTTAGATTCACCTTCAAACCCTATTCACTAGGCTTGTAAGCTAAAGATAAAGCATGTAACAAGGATCCTGTTTCCTTGTATTTTAATGATAATGAAGGGATTTCTTTCCTTAAAAAAGAAAAGGAATTTTATAGTACGGAGTGAGCAATGTGTCTCTTAATTTTAGGTTTGTATCCACTTTCCCACAAGATTTTAAAAAATCCACTTGATCATCTATTTCCTTGACTATCTCAGCACTGATATTTATTCTCAAGCAGCAAGAACAGAAAATCTGGGGTTGGAAATGCTAAGTAAACATAACCAGCCAAAAAATAACCAATTCAAAATATGAGATACTCTGTGAAAGGAGCTGCATCCATAGGAGAGGATTTCTGATTAACAAAAGCTATCATTTAAAAAATAACACTGCTACTACTTTGGCCTTAAGGTCCTCAGTGACATGCTTTGGTTTTAAGAAGGGGGATAACAGTAAAACCAATCAGCTTCCTGACGCTTCAAATGGGAAGACCTACAGACACCAAAAAAACCCCACCTTGTCTTGAATACAGCTGATAACTCTGTTTTGTTGACAAGTGGGAGGTTTTTGACAGACGAAAAAAGACAAGGAAAATGGTGGGCGAATAAATATGAGCTACCTCTATGGATCCTCTAAGAGTAAATCTTTAAAATAATATCATTAAAAATAATTTAAATGGTAAAACGTTTTAAATCAGATTAAATTAATAGTACAAAGCCCACAAATGCACAAGCAGGTAGTGGAAATACACACCTGAGACACGTCTCTACTAGTCTGCTAAGCAAGGCCAGGCTGACTTCTAATTTACTCGTGTGAGGGAAGCAAGGCTTGATATAGTTTGCAGACACACATGAGATTCAGAAGTCCATTCTTTGAAAATTAATTTTATATCTCTAAACTGTTAATAAAAGGTATATTATGCCTAAATAGCCAATTTATTAAAAACAGAATGTAGAAAAAATCAGTAACTGAATATATTTCGCCGATTTATCATTCATGAAAAATAAAATATTGTCTTTCTTCCTATAGATTTAAACTTCCCTTTACTCTCAGAAAATGACAATGATGTGAGAGACTGGGATGAAATTTAGGATGAAGAGAATGAAGAACAACAGGGAGACAGAAACCATGTCCGAAAAGCTTTTCTAAGGATTCAGGAAGGAAGCTGCAGATGGTCCTACAGTAGCAGAAAATTCCTTTCACAACTAAGAGTATTTTTGGGAGCATCATAATTTCCTCAATTCCTCAACTGGGGGGAGGTAACAATTCATGGTTCTTTAGCTTTGAGATTTAGTAGTTCCAGATTTAAAAAACAAGAACAAAAACAAGTATCCCGCTCCCCCCACCTTTTAATACTTGTTGGAACGTTTCAATTTTAGTAGCTAAGGCTTAATACAAAATTTAAAATTATAACCCATGTTCTTCCTACAGAAATATGACTAGGGATGAAACCGTCACTGGACCTGCTGTGATGGCTGTATCTACATGCTAACCTGGACTGTATCCAGCAACCTGTCATCTTCCAGTGTCATCCAGTGCATGATTTTAATAAGTCCATACTGGAGAGTTTAAAAGAAAGTCAGACAAATATATCTCTAAAGGTTTTAGATACTTCTACTGAAAAAGGCATTTAACAACTTGTTCCCCTGGAGAAAAACTTAACCAGGTTCATGACTATCTAAGATTCATGAGAACATTTGTATTTGAGTTCAACTCTGTGCCTAAAATCTGGAATTAAAGGAAACACCCACCTGAAAAAGATGAAGTGGGAAAGAAAGACTGTTATTTGCCTGCTTCCCAACAAACAGCTTCAGCTAATAGTTAAAAATACCTTTTTACAAGTATCTCCTAATATGAGACACTAACAGTAATCAAACCATCGTTTTTAGACTTCTAAATTTTTTTCCAAACAAGGGAAGAAAAAGTCACAAATGACTTCTGTACGGTAAATATAAAACAAAACTCAGCATTTGAACAATTTAAAGCAAATCAGCACTTTCTGGCTAGAAATGACTTTTCAGCTTATAAATCACTATAATTTTTAGCTTCAAAATTTTATGTGACAAAAAATAATTAAGGAATTGAAAGACTGAGAGGGCCCCTGAGAAATCAGCTGATGCCTCTTACTTGCTTTAAGGAATGACCACATCAGTAGTGGAATGGAGAGCGCCAGGTGGCCTAGGAAGACAGGCTTTCATCACATTATTAAAGAACATGTTGAAAATATTTTAGGGCCTGTACATGAGCACACTCATGTTTCTGGTTCTTTCCCTCTTTTTGGAAAGAAAGAAAAAGTACTCCCCAGGGTCCATTACATAGGCACAACAGACACTTCTTTGAATTCTCCTGGATAAAGTTGGGGAGACCCTATTATCAAAATGATCTGAACACCAAAAAGCACAAGATGGAAAAAATATTTTTTTAATTGTTTTTCAAAAAATAAAAGTAGAACAGGAGAAAACTTCAAATTCGAGAAGCCATTTCATATGGAATGGACATTAGCAATTAATAAGTACCTGTATTTTATTTGTCTGAAGCAGACATGACATTACTTAAAAATAGACTGTTTAATCATAGATGAAGCAGAATGAGATGCTTGTTAGTATAAGCTCAAAGGCAAACAGTTAGTCCATCAAGTTAGTGACATCAAGTTAGTGAACTCTGTACCTTCTCCTATGAATGGGAGGTCTCCTGACAACATCCCCAAGAACTCGCATTGAACTGAAAATGAATGGTGGAAGAGGTCAGTGTCGAGTTGAAATAAAGTGGATACAAATGCATGAAACATACAGACATCACACTGGGAAGAGACACAATGGCCAAAGAGAAATAGTTCAGGGAGTAAGGGAATGAAAGAATGTGGAATCAGGAAAACATCATGACCAAAAAGGCCTGATAATTTCTGAGAAGGGCTACTTTGCTCTCTCCTTGCTCCAAGGAGTTAATCAGGTGACCAAGAATGAGGTTTATTAAATTATAAAAGTAAAAGGATTTTTTAAAAAGGCCATTCAAAATTTTAAAAGGGTTTTCTTAAGACTCTACAATTCAGGTTACACTATATGTAGATAACACTATAAGAATTAGTCAAACTAATTAAAGTGAACCCTAACTCTCATTCCATTATCTCCAGAGGTACTGGCACAGTGGTGCTAAGCAATCCTTAATGATAAACTCAAACAGGAGGTTCCATGGTATCACATAGATTGAAAATATAAACAATTTAGGTGATATGGTTCTAATCTTAGCTCAGTCCTAAAATCATGTAATCTTGGGCAAAATCATTTAATCTGAGCTTCAATTTCCTCATTGGAGCTACATGACCCATGAAGTCACATCTAGCTTGGAAATCAAAGTCATGGCAAAGGGATCCATAGTGGTTTATAAAGGAAAACAGATTATATATAAAATAAATCCTCATTTCTCAATGTTGCCGTCATCTAAGACAAGTATATCCTGTCAAGAAGCTTCTCTTGCTTCAGGAAGGGAATTCTGGCTGTAGGGATCATTCCCCCAACCTTATTTTTTCCTGTGGTGTGAATGCTTAAAAAAAAAAAAGTACAGCTTGAATAAAGCTGGGAAGGAAAGCTTTTAGGAACTGCTTTTTACATAATCTAGGATTTCAAATATATATAAAAACTGCCCATCAGATAAAGCAACCGCTTATTTTTAAGCTTAGCATTCTGAACTCCACCCCAGAATAATACGGAGTTCTAGAAAGAGCGCCTGACCAGGAAACTGGAAACCTGGATCCCACTGACCTTGGGTAAATGATATAAACTACCTGCAGAGTCTCATCTGCAAAAATGGGGTTAATCCCACCTGACTCATGAAGAGGTTGCAACATTACACGAGACAATGTGTTATTAAAAGAATCTGAAAAGGGTAGCAAGTCAGGAAGGTGTAAGATATGATGAAGGCAGGGACTTTGTTCACCTCTGGGTCTCCAGAACGTAGAAATGCCTGACGTGCAGGCGGTGCTTAATATATGTTGGCCGAATAAAAGAATAAATGAGCAAGTGAGTGTGATCAGATTACATGTACTTACAGCTATGAGCCAAAATATTAGGAGTTCAAGGAATTTTTAAAAAGCAAACAAACCAATAATTGCTGCTGGTGAACCGTTCTATCAATTGTTTTACACTGTCAGCCTCCTCCCTTGGCTGCTTGTCCTCATTAAGAAAGTAGCTTTGGAGCAGGCACACCTTTGCACATACAGTAGGCATCATGGCACTTGTTCTTTACACTTAAAGCCATCTGCTTAAATTCATCTAGGCAGCCAATGGTCAGAAGCCAATCCAACTTTTCTTAGAGCCTGCTTCCAAACTGAAGGTATGAGACTGGGTGGCACTTGCAAGAGAGCCCCAAGACTGAGTGATACATGGAAAAACAGTAACAATTGAATGATTATTTTGATCTCTTAAGGATTAAACACTGGTAATTTAGACTTCATCAAAACTCTCTGCACTAGAAACAGATGGCAATTTCTATGAAGCACTGTGAAGACTTAGATGTGTTGAGACTTTAAGAATTCATGTTTATTTCTTAATTCAAAACTGACATGAAACTATTCCCCCCCCCCAATTTTCTAATCTCTGAATTTCATGAACAAATCTGGCCTGAACAAATGCTACCATTTATTAAACACCCACGTGACTGACATATTTCACTTGTAATCTTTATTATTACAAATATTCAGAAAGGCAGGTGTTTTACAGATGAGAAAGTTAAAGCTCAGAAGGGTCAAGTAACTTGCCAAGGTTATCCACATAGAAAGTTATAGAGCTAGAGTTTAAACACAGATTTTCCTGATTCCAAAGCCTATATTCTTTCTTCGATACCATGGTGTCTCCTAAAATCTTTTACTAATAATACCACCAAATCAAAAGCAAGCAGACACTGAGAGACTAGACAAACAGCCTGCCATCTCACCTCCGGTGGTTCATTTCTGCCTCACTGGCTGTGTTCTTCCCAGGACCCCAGCTGTGCCTCCGGAAAGGGGACAGAGAGCGCATAGAGCTCCTCAGGACAGAGCAGTTCGCAGGCACTTCAGTGATGCTGTCCATCTCCTCCTCTTCCATCTCACCTGAGCCAGCAGGCTCACTCTCACTCTCTCGACCCTCAGCTCCCACCCCATGGTTGTAGAAACCATCAAGACATTGCTGGTCTCTGGACCTGTTCAAATTTGAAATCTGGGGGAGGGACACATCACTGCCATGAGAAGAATGCCGATCCAAGGACGCTGTGTCATCGGTGGAGGAACTGGATCCAGTGATATCACAGGCCAACTGTTCTTCCTCAGGCTGTAATGGAGAGAAAGCACGTATGGTTGGAGATGGCAGGACCAAGCAGACAGCTCTCTGTTATTCCCCAGCGAGCCAATGCCTTTACAGTGGGTAGGACAGGCAAGATCACAGTTGGCCTCAAACAGATTTCTTTCTTAAAGCATGATCACAGATGGATTCAAACAGCCTCCAGTAAAGGTAGGGTCGAGGTCTATGCTCTTTTTACCCTTTTACTAGAGGTGCTAGATGGGAAGTACATCATTTTCCCTTTTTTACAGAGGAACAGATCTAATTCAAGTCAGTTTTTTTCAGTCAATACCATCAACTGAAATGAAGGGAAACTATGTCTCTGAGGTTTCTGCTTATGAAAACTCTAAATTCATACCATATAAAGTTTAGGTTTTCTTTGTTTTGTTTTTTTTACAAGCCTTAACTAAAAACAAGGTAGTGTGCTTGGCTACAACAGTGATATACTGAAGTTTATATTCCAAAAGCAAGTCTAATTGTTTTCAGGAGCATTTTGAAAAATGCAGAATAGCTTATTATCCCACCTAAAGTCTGCCACAAATGCCCAAATTCTGGCCACAAACACCTAAATGCAAGAAATCTATCCCCTTTTTTCCTTTAACTGAGTACCGGCTGAGTTTTATCGAGCCAAACTGTACATAAAATAATCAGTCCTGGCAATGCAGCCTTTGATAAAGTGATGATGCTCTTTCCCTGGACAACTTCTAGAGCCTAACAGGAATTGTGCCATTTTGATCCCAGTGGCCTGACATTCTCCACGTGCTGAAAGACACCAGAACACATAATTTGATGGGTGAGGGAAAGGTAAGCATCATGGCATTCAAAAAATAAATGTATCCAAAAGATAAGTAAAGTGTCTAAAAAGATACACGCTCACATTCTGAGTTACAGATGTTGGCACTGTACTGTCTTAATATCCTTATTTTGCATTCTTATGGGATAGGGAGCAAGGAATAGAGAAAGATATTCTGTGATTTTTTTTTTTCCCCTTCACAGTATTTCCCTAATCAGTCAGTCTACTCAGTTTTAATTAGGAGTAAAGAAACTTACAGCTCTTCAAGAAAGATTTTAAAAATTATGGAAACGAATGAGTCCTGTTAGCTTTGAAACAGAAAACAACTCCCATACTAAAGGGAGTGCCACTTTAAAGGCTTAACATAACACTTCAAAAGCACTGTACCTTCTGAAAGCATTCTTTATACCGCTGGGGCTGGATCTCACCAGCTCATATGAGCTTTTTTTTCCACCCTGTAGAATCCCGTTTCCTACGTTAATTGCTCTTTAAAGGATGAGTGAGGGAAAGATGCGAGGGGACCACTGGACAGTCAGAAATCTGAGGCCCAGACTGTCTCATGGGCTCCCCCACCCCTCCAAGTACAAGAGAAGCAAGATTTGAATGGAGCTTGATTTCAACTTTTAAACTGCTCTGTTCTGTTATCTTAAAAAAAAGAAAACCAACCCTGTAAGGATAAGATCACCTTAAAAAACAAACAAACAAAAAAAACCACCCTGTAAGGATAAGATCTCAAAGTCAATATCAGAAAAGTCCTCAGTGTTCCCTTCACTGGGCCACACTGTAAAATAAAACTATATGCTTTACCAAGTAGATTCTAAAACAGGGTAGGTCTTGTTTTAAAATAAAATTATCGATGACTCCTTTTAAGTTAGTGAGCATTGACCTGGGCATCCTAAAGTTTCTATTCCTGGGGCCACTCTCCACAGAAAGGGAGACTATAAATGGTCATGAATACCAACTTTAGAAGACACTTTTAGGATGTCTTAGCTTTTTCACTGTACTGTGTTGAACAGTGTCCTCCTCAAGTTCACATCCTTTTCGGAATGTGACCTTATTTGGTTGAGTCTTTGCAAATGTTATTCGTTAAGATGAGGTCATACTACACTAGGGTAGTTCCTGAATCCAAAAGTAGTAGTGTCCTTATAAGAAGAGACAGCAGCCCCTCTGATACATTGCTTTTAGGACCTCCTGCCTCCAAAACTATGAAAGAATAAATTTATATTGTTTCAAGCCACCAAATTTGTGGTAGTTGGTTACAGCGGTCCTGGGAAACTAAAGCTGCCTAAATGTCTAATTCTCAAAACAATACCAAGGGACAAGCAGAATGGGCATCAAAAAAGCAAAATGTGTGATGAGCCTGTTTTAAAACGCACAAGCAAGGCTTCAAAAGATATGAAAGCTTTTGAGCTGAAGTTTCCATTTATCACACATTCTTCGTACAAGTTAGCTCTTCCCAGTGTGAAAATGACTTGCAGATGGTAGAATAGGTTTCTCTGTAAAAAGGAGAAATCTGCCTAGCATACAGCCTCAACATAGCCTTGTTCCTTGTGTGTGCTATGGCATTTCTTGGTGTGTGCTTTTAACTCTGAGTTTTTAAAAAACAAAAAACACAAGATGGAAGACCTGGGAGTTTTTTCATAGTAACACGTGATTTCTTTAGTTTTGCATTCCTGATCCTGATTTAAGAATCAGGTTCACACAGTATAATATTCTTACACTCAAGTATTTTTGTGAGCTAGCAGTTATTATCTGAAAAGGGAAAAATAGGACAAATTCAGAAATTAAGACTGAGCTCATTTATTAAGTACTGAGGCAAATGGTTTTAACTTTAGACTGAATCTAAAGAAGGCTCTAAACTACTTTTTTCCAAGTTTTTCTTAGCATTCTCAAAAGAATTTCCCAACTTCATCACATCTTTACACTACCTTTGCAGACTAGAAAGTAGTCAGTGGTGTAATGAGAAATCAAACCCAGAGTATGGTCGTAGCCTTTCTACAGCTAGGTATGTGTCTATGGATAAGTCACACGATGATCTTTAGATCTGAAGGTTAGAAATTAATGTAAGGTCTGTTGAAAAGTATTGTCCATTTAAATCATGGATAACAGAGGAAAGAAGGAAAGCAGCTTTTTAAAACTTTTGAACTGTTTTTGCAATGTTCCCTTTCCAGTCCCTGAATTTGTTAGTGCTAAAGTTTCTAGAGATGTCTGCCAAATAACAGATGTGAGAACTACTACTTCCACCATTTTCCTCCCTCCTCAAAAAAGTACCAGATTTTGGGGGATGCTGTTTTTTCATTTATATATATTAGAAACGGAAAAAAATTATGGCTTCTGACACAGACAGAATGTTCCATGCCTAATAGTTGAAGCTCCTCTTAAGAGTTTTTGAGTTGTCAGTCTTTCTTCAGAGAGGTCTTTTCTCTTAAAATGTCTGCTAATTAAACGACTTTCAAGACTTAGGAAATTATTCCTGATTGTCTGGAGGAATGGTGCCATGGGATCAATTAAACTAACACATTTTTTAAAACTTAGATTTGAATCCATGTAAATCAGATGTACTAGTTAAACTGATCCCATGCTGCCATTCCTCCAGACAATCAGGAATAATATCCCAAGTCCTATATATATATGTATATATATACACATACATACATATATATATGTAATATAAATATATATTTATATGAATACTTACGCATTTATATATAAGAATGAAATATATGTATATATATTTTTTCATTCTTATAAACAAACGGCCAAAACAATTGTGATGAGTATTAAGACTGGGTTAGGGCAGAGAAGTAGAAGAGATGTTAAAAGGTGGAAACAGGAGAGAAGGGGTGATTGGGAGTCACGTATGTATGCGAGAAGGCAAGCATACTAGGGAAACTAAGACCAAGTCTACCTGAGACTGACACACAAATCCTTCCTCTCTTGAGTTTTCATAATTGGTTTCCCTCCTGCATATAGGAGGACGGGAACACACACAAAAAACTATCATCTCTACCATCAGCTTCTCTCTCCTTGGGGTTTATAAAATTTTGAAAATCTGCAAATGGTTATCAGGCTAGAAAAACCCAATAGGCCTCAGAGAGAATGCCCTCTGAGCACTACAAAGGTATGAGAGTGGCTGTCTTTCCAACACTAGCCTTAAACAGACAGTTCTGGCTTCAGGGGCAGGGGCTGAGTCCAACAGAGTGACCCAAGGATACTTGGGTTTTGCTTAATTTAAGGCCAAATAAACTAGAGAGAATGAAATTACAAAATAATTACATAAATAAAAGTTAATGTAAAAGTCCAAAACAAATGATGATTTTTATATAAAGCTTGAGAGAATCTATTACTTAAATATATGTGCAGTATAACTATTACATAAATTTGAATAATAATTATTTACTGGATACTCACCATGTGTGGGGCTCTATACTAAGTGATTTCGATGTATGATTTCTTTTATTCCTCACAACTATTTGCTTTAGTAGCTATTCTTATTCCCATTTTATAGATGAGAAAACTGAAGCTCAGTGAGGTTACATAATAAACTCAAGTTTCTAATTTAACTGATCTGGAGTAAGGGCCAGACTTTTTTTCTTTGTCTTTGTTTTTTTCCCTTCTTCTTCTTCTTCAAGCTCTCCAGGTGATTCTAGGTACAGCTAGGATTCAATCCTATTGCTAAAAACTACAGAGCTGTTACTGCAGCTGGGGGCAGACAAATCAATAACAAGATAGGACACAGGTAGCAATACTATAAAAATGTGATAAGTTACACTTCATCAAAAATTTAAAAATTCAGTTCATCAAGACAGCATTATCAAAGTGAACAGGTAGCCATAGAGTGGAAGAAAATATTTTCAAAATGTAAATCTAACAAAGGACTGGTATCCAGGATACATATATAGAATTTCTACTTCTCAACAACAAAAAGACAAACGATCTAATTTTTTTAATGGGCAAAAGAGATGAACAGACATTCCATAAAGGAAGATACACACAAGTGGCCAATAAACACATGAAAATGTGTTTAACATAATCATTAGGTGTCAAGGAAAAGCAAATCAGAAACACAGTGAGCTACCACTACATGCACACCAGAAATGCTACAGTCAAAGCAAAACAAAACAATTATACATGTTGCTAAGGGCGTGGTGCCACTATAATTCTCATTCTTGCTGTTGAGAATAAAAAATGGTACAACCACTTTGGAAAAGGGTCTGGCAATTTCTTATAAAACTAAACCTACACTTACGATATGATCCAGAAATTCCACTCCTGGGTATTCATCTAAGAGGAATGATAATATTTATATTTCATTTATATGAAGTTCTGAAATAGGAAAAATTAACCTGTGGTAGAAAAAAATTAGAACAGTTGCTGCCTCTAGTGGGTTAGAGAGGAGACAGACTGGGAAGGGGCATGAGAAAACTTTCCAAAGTGATATATCCTTATGGGCATTTAGGTTACAAAGATGGGTGAATGCATTAATCAAAGGTCACTGAGGTAGAGCTGTTATAGAAAACAGTATGGAGGTTCCTCAAAAAATTAAAGGCAGGACTAACTGCCATATATGATCCAGCAATCCCACATCTGGGTATATATCCAAAGGAAATAAAGTCACTGTCTTGAAGAGATATGTGCACTCCCATGTTCAAAGCAGCATTACTGACAGTAGCCAACATATGGAAATATCCTAAGTATCCAATGACAGATGAATGGATATAGAATTATTCAGCCTTGAAAAAGAAGGAAATCCTGCCACTTGCGATAACACGGATGCATCTTGAGGGCATCATGCTAAGTGAAATAAGCCAGACACAGAAAGACAAATACTGCACGATCTCACTTAAATGTGAAATCTAAAAATGTCAAACTCATAGTAACAGGGAGTATAATGGTGGTTACCAGGGGCTGGAGGGGTGGGGAAAATGGGAAGATGTTAGTCAAAGGGAACATACTTTCAGTTATGAGATGAGTAAGTTCTGGAGACCTAATATACACTATGGTCGCTATAGTTAATAATAAGGTACTGTATCCTTGAAATCTGCCAAGAAAGTAAATCTCAAGTGTTTTCTCCACACACATAAAAAGTAACTACATGAGGTGACAGATATGTTAGTTAGCCTGATTGTGGTAATCACTTCACAATGTATGTGTGTAATATGTATGTAAGTATCATATATATGTGTGTTTATTTATATATATATAAAAACAACATGTCATACACCTCAAATATATATGATTTTTATTTGTCGATTATAACTCAAAGTTGGGAGGGAAGTCATTGAATGGTACTCTTGAGACTGCATACTTCATTGTATGTAAATTTTATAAAAAAACAAAAAACAACAACCCTATAAACAAATACTGAATTCTAAGTATTTAGGGGTGAAGTGTATTGATATCTGTAAGTTATTTTGAAGTGCATCAAAGAAATTAGATGAACTGGTAGGTGGAAGAATGAGAGACAGATGCATAACTATGTAACAAAGCAAATATAATAAAAAGTTAATTGCAAAATTTAGGTGGTGGATGTTCACTGCACAATTCTTCTAACTTTTCTGTTTCAGAATTTTTAAAATAAAATGTTGGGGAAAAAAATGCCTGACTGGCTTTCTTAACCAGTGTTACACCATATAGGTATGATATAGATATGTATATAGAGAGGTGTAAACATTATATACACTTATATACACAGAAATATAGAAATAGCTATGCAGTTTATATCTTATTACTATACCTGAAGGAATCATGCTTAATATTGCCAAAATAGCCCTTTAATTTTCATTCACTTACTCGTCAAATACTTATAAATTATTATCTATTATATTATACGCAGGACACTCTGCCACGTGCCTTGAAAATAAAAGCTCATATTTTAAAATCCTAATGTATGCCAATCACTTAATCCATTTATGTAAAATACTTTATTTAAGTATCTGATAGCAAGCATCAGCCCTGCTTCACAGTTCTGAAATTACAATAATTTCAATACTTATTCATAAGTGATTATAGTTTTTCTAATCTGGATTCTGTAAACATATTTACTTTTATCTCTAAAAGTTTAAAATAAAAGGTAAATTTCTGGCTTGGTGTTTAGGTACTTGAGAGCAAACTACAGCAATATAAAATAAAGGATTTTCCTTTAAGGGTTAGCATCTTAGAGGAGTTACTTTGATTTTCTTAATCAACTGTGGATATGTCTTATAACTTGGAGGAAAAAACAAGGTGTAAGGGCTTTACTTTATCTCTGGGAAAAGAGGCAGCAACTATCAGTATTTTCTGTGGCTTTCAATTATCCTTTTGGATAACAGAGTGGCCCAGATCGTGTATTTTATGATCACACTTTTCTTTCTTAGCTAGTGCCAGAAAGCATCCTAGGATTTCTTCTCACGTTAAAAACAAAATTTAAATTTTATGCTGTTGATCTATGGAAAAAAAGAACTTAGAAATGAGCAAATATCCATAAGAATAAACATGAAGCTCACAACACTCACCAAAGAGTCATACTTGCCAGGAGGCAGGCACACTGAGTGGAAACATAAGATTAAGTGGAAAGTTCTGACAAACATCGCAGGCTAATGTTAAAGAGACCTCTGTTAAGGCCAGAGTCACACAAGTGGCTGCAGGAAGTGACCTAATGCACCACTCATGGTTCGCAGAAAAGGATGTTGCAATGCCTTGCCTACAGATTATTTTTTAGAGAAGGGAGAGTGGGAGGGCTGGAGCCTGAGAAGAAACTCTGGGACAGTCTGATGTTTCACAGTACATGTTGTGTGGATGACCACAGAGGAAGGCTTTTAAGGAAGTAGCTGATGGCCTGTCTGCCACTGCCATGCTTCTATATAAAGCACTGGTTATTAAAGCAGGTGTCTGGAGGTTGAGAGCAAAATAACAGAAAATGAACAGATTTCAGAGTTAGGGCTACGTACAAATCTCAGTTTTGTTACTTACCAGCTGAGTAATTTTGAGTAAACCTCTTTACCAATCAGAGCCTCTATTTCCTCAGGAGTATAATGAAGATAGAACCACCCACCTTGCAGGGTTGCTGGGAGCATGAAATGTGATCATACTTTAAAAATTCTGTTCAGTGCCTAGTATAAAGTAAGCATCTTGTACACATGAGTCTGTCTGTCTCCTTTTCCCTTCACATGTAAACCCTGGGTTTATGAATGCTAGAGAAAACATTATTGCAAAACCTTTCTGTCACTAACAACAGTGGTAGAGCGGAGACACTAAGAGGAAGGACCCTCCAAATCTCACCCCAGGCCATCAGACATTCTTCTGTCAGCATGAAGAGGTGAAAGTGCATCCGCCATTTCTCGACTTCCTGAGACACTCCAGTACGAAATGTTGGTCAAAGTTTATTCAGGGATATGCTTCAACCTTTAAAAATTGTATCTGTCCAGTCATCCTGAAAAAACTGCCAAATCTAGCACTGGCCATTTGTATGAACAATCTCCTAAGTGCTTTTGGCAGTTCGAATAATTAGGTAAAATGTAGTAAATTCTAATTCTCCTTAGCTAGGAAAATCATTCAATTTAGTAACCAGAAATAACTATCATTCTGCAGAGATGGTAACGCCCAGGGCAAGCTGTCACGCACCTAGGAGGTTCAAGCAATTATTTCTTAACGGAGACTTTGCAATTTGTTAAAAATTTCTTACTAAGAAAATTTTCACACATATATAAATGTTTAACAAATCCTCATGTATCCATGACCCAGCTTCAGTGATTACTGATGACTGTTTTAAAGCTGGAACTTAGAGATATTATCTAATTTATTTATCTCGGATAAAAGCAATACATTTTTAAAGACATGCACCTTCGGAATGGTATTCCCCTTGGGGGGAGGTGGACACTTTAGGAGTCCTTACAATGAAAACCTCAAAATCACAGTGGAAATTACCTAAATTCTGTTGGTTAAAAAAAAAAAAAAGAAGATCATATTGGTGTCCCTCTCCCTAAATAACTTCGGAGAAGGACAGATCCTCCCAGTTGTGTGGACTTTTTACTTTACAGAATCCCTTCTATGAGTAACAATGCCATGAGTCTTTCCAAGGCCCTCTGGAAGACAATGACCACAAGGAAAAGGGCGAAGGGAGGCCAAGCAGGCATACGAGAGCCACTGAGCAAAAATGAAGGGAAAGTGAAAGTAAATGCACAGAGGCTTAAATACATTCCAGACCAGAGTCCCAGAACGGTAAGCCTTCTTCTAGTGTAACTTCTAAACCCAGCATCATCACGCTGCCTTGGAGAACCCAAGCAGCCACTAACCCCAACTGCTCTCATCACTTCTCCAAAGTCATCGTGAACCCTCACAAAGGCACCTGCACAGCTGCCATGTTTCTGCCCCCTCAACCGCTCTCTATTTTAAAGACAAGCACTTGTGGCATATAACTGAGTACCATTTGCTGATCCTGCTGTGGGAAAGGCCTCTATTCTTCTTAGGAGACAAAACCAACCTTGCTGCAACCAGATACAAACATAAGCAAAAGAATGCAACAACCCCCCCCCCCCGCCGCCAACACACACACACACTCTCTCAGAGCTTCAAATTATATGAAAACACGAGGTGATTCATGTGGATGGGCTTGGCTTTTCACTAGTGAGAAAGCTTGGATTCCTGAGCAGAGCTCTAGAAACTTCCAATTAAGCAGGCTCCATGAGGACAGGTGACATCACGAAGCTCAACAGCGAGCTTCAGGCCTAAACACATTAATCAGAAGGCTCTGTGGTTAGTTTATACACATGACGTCATACAGTCTGAGCTGTGGTTCCTTCCTGCCCCCTGAGAAGTATTCACTGTCATCTGATTTAATTCACAATAAAGGAACTTCCATTTCTTTAGGCTTCAATGTGAGCTTCAAAACCTGTACGTAACCAGCCATGATTCTACAGAAAATAAAGTGGCCAAGGCCTCTTTCTAAGGCCTGGCAACCTGGAGCTTCATTCTCTGAAAGGGGGCATTTACACTTCTCTAAGACCTGAAGAGAAGCCCTGTAAGGCTAGTAGGAGTCACATCTTACTAGCAGGAGTCACACACTGAGTCCAACAGTACCTTGGAGAAGATAATGCTGTCCACTTCTTCACTGGGTGAGTGGAAGAGGTCAGAATCACTCCCAGATTCTCTTTTAAGGACACCTTGTTTTGAGGCACACTCTCTGCTCAATCCAACATCCAGGAAGTTATCACATTCTGAAAAAGAAAATTTATTCAACCACTGCTTTAAAAAAAAAAATCAGTTTCTTTTCATTCCAGCCTTTTAAATCAACCAACTGATCAATCTCCCTCCCTCCTCATACTAAGAAGCTGTAAAGGACACAGTCGAATTAGTAGCTTTTAATTCTCAGTTGATACAGTTACTACAGGACAAGCATGAGTTTGTCATGTAAACCACAGGTACAGAAAGATAAAACGATGATTTAGAACCGTAATTCCACCTATGTATTTAAATAATGATCTTTTCCTCCTGGTAGTTATAGAATTTATTTCTTTTGCTACCAAAATCAGAAGTTCCTTATTAGGAAACTATGTGATAGGATTTGTGGGCAATTTCTGTTTTTGAGACTTAAGTTCTTTCTGGAAACTTGTTACTTTATCAAAATACCGAGATAAAAGACAAAGGGGGAGCATAACTAATAAAATATACCTGTGTATTAAACTCACGGGTTCTATTAAGCAATAACAGAAATATAACTATTTAAATTCTCCTACCTTTAATAGATCTGACATTGGATGAATAATGTGATGAAGAAAAATATATAATCTAGAATCTGTTTTCAGTTCAACAACTAGGATGTGGACTCTGGTGAACCAGACAGAGAGGGCCTTGATAGAAATATTACATTGGTACATCAAGGGGTTCTAAAGATTTGTATGCTTAAATTAGCAAAGTATTTAACCCATTCTCTTCTTTAACTCTGTAAACAAAAAGGACATGTGACCTGATAACAACAGAGAGAAAAATATCTCTATGTACATGGTGAAACCAAGTAAGACATCAACCTCCTTCAAGAAGTTTTGAAGAATGAAGCGTTTCCATTCTAGTTAGCATTAAGCATGATTTGGAAAAACATACGTATGTTTATCAAACCTGCAGGTGACACTAAGTGATGAGGGACAGAGTAGATAACCTGGCTACCTAGCAGTTCATGAGAACTCTACCTGGAGGTTTTGCTTGAAAGCAAATTCAAGAGGAGTTCACAATACAAGGTTATGGCAAAACAAACAAATACTAATAGTTTTAGGCTCTATTAATAGACAATGCACCCAAATCCAAAATGGGGACAGTCTGGCCAGTATGTGCCACCAACACTGCACCTATACGGTTGTGTTTGTTCCTAAATATTGATAAATTAAATTAAAACACTGATAAACAAAATTGCATGCATGGTAATGAGGTGACCATGAGTGGAAACACCTGAGATACATTCAGGTTGCAGAGGAGCTTGAAGAAAATGTGTCTGAGGATGGCTGCAGATTTGCCCTGTGCCATTCAGGAGGGAGAACAAAGCCCGCCAAGTGGAAGCCAGAGCTTCACTATAACGGGGCTTCAGGCCATAGGCTGGCAGCCTTATAAAGTCATGAGGCTCGTTCACCAGAAGGGCTGGAGCAAAGGCTGAGTGACCGTGGCAAGACATTTCAAAAAAGCTGTCTGCACAGAAGTGGAAGTGGAGACTGAACTAGACGACCCCTAATGTCTCTTTTAATTCTTATAGTCTATGCTTAGACAATAAGTGTGTGTGTGTGTGTGTGTGTGTGTGTGTGTGTGTGCGTGTACAGGTCTGTGTTCAGAGATAATGAGAAGAGGAAGTTTTTCTTATCTAAATTAACTAATAACTGATCATCAATCAATAAATAATTTGCCCTGCATTAGCCAGGAATCTTAGAGGAAGGGTCAAAGAGGCACTGCACTGATACAGGTCATGAATCACTTGTCAATAAAATTACCTTTTCTATTAGTTAGGCATTTGACTAGGTACTGGGAATTATCCAAATAAAAAGAGATGCCTAATGTTTGTGTCTATGTGGAGGGGGGGAGTAGTTTACAATTTTGTAGTAGAAATGAATATATTAAGAGGTAATTTCAACACAGAAGTACAGAAAGGATGCCACAGGAATAAAGGCACGGCCCACAGATTAATCTGAAAATGTTTCAGTTAAAGAAAAAATTACCTTGGTCCATTTCAGTCTTGGTCCAAACTATTTCTGAGTGTGTTAGTTAATGGGAATAGCCTTGCCTTTTAAAGACTGGAAATCATGGGGATTCTGGAGTTCTGGTCCCTTTTTTCCCACATCCCAGAGTATGTACTAACTTAGGTGGAGCTGGTGGCTGTGATTTTTCTACTTGTTCCCCCCACACCTTTTCCCCGCTTGGAAAAATCAAAAACTCCACTCCATGGATGAGGGGAAAGTAGGGGGACTGGCCAAGGAAAGAAAGGGCTGCCGCAGCAACTATGCTAAGGTGCTAGCTGTCCAGCTGGCAGTCAAACAGACCACGTCCCAATTCCAGACCTGGAAAACAGAGCAGCTTAAGACATTCTAATGGAAAATCCACGGGGAAGATCCGGACTCAGCCTTGGTAGGAATACCTCACCCAGAAAATAAATCCAAGCCAGCACTACAAGGGACCACAAACCAAGTCTGGGATGAGAATCTGCTGCTGTGATACAATGTTGGTTGGTGAGCTGGGGAGGAGGGAAACTATGAAAATGAGGAACAAGGGAGAGAAAAGGACCTTAAGCCATTATGAAACCCCACAAATGGAAGTGGGGGGACCCTAAGGCAGGGCTAATCTATACCCCATTTCACATGTGTTGACAAGTTTTCAAAATGGATAAAATCTTTCCTTTCTTCTTACATGCCCCCCTTCCTAAGGAATAAAGTGGAGCAGCAAACAAAGGCATAAACAGGAATGAATGATCACTGGTTTCAGAGTGAGGCTGATGTGGCTCAAATCTGGATCCGAATACTTATAGCAAAAAGATCCCAGGCAAGAAGGAATTTGACCCTCTAAGTCTCCATTTCCATACCAATGAAATGGGATGATTTGTACCCCCCTAAAATAGTTGTAGGGATGGTGAGAAATAATTTATATATATAGTAACCAGAACTCCGCCCCTGAGTACACAGCAGGCATGCGATAAACATGCCTAATGGAGTTAAGGCTTCATTAACCTGTAACGTGTGATTTGACAAGTATCCAGTAAGGACATTACACTTTGAGGTGGGCCAACCCCATTTTATGACCCATATATAAATCTGTCTATAACTTTTGTGTCCTGAGCCACTAGCTTTTTAAAAGCTAGCAAAATGTGCACTTTTAAAGTGCCATCTGGTCTTTTAGGTTTCAATTATACATATGTAAACAAATTATAGTTGGGGAAGGGTAGGAAAACTTACCAGCAGCCCACTCACTGGGCTTTGCTGAACCATGTTAATCATAATGCATCTGTTATTTATTCCTATTTAAATAGGTTTGCATTTATCCTGGATTGAAGAGTATACAAAGTGATTTTAAATGTTACTACCTTATTTAGCCTAACACTATTGCTCTCTTGAGCTGTGTTTAAAAGTAAAAGAAAGAAACCTACATGACTGAAAGTACCTAGAATTCACAAAACAATATGCCTAAAATAAAAATCTCAGGTCTGAAGTTCAGAAGCATAATCCAGATCTTGGGTTTTGATAAATTGAAGTTTAAAAAGAATCACTCTAAAAAAACCAAAGTCTTTTGGGGGCTGGGGTATGGAGAAGGTCAACAAAATTCAAGATTATGCCCTGGGGAAAATGCTCAGGGGTTCAAAATACATTTCCTTAAACGAGTAAAATAGACTGCAGCATGTGAAGAAACTTCCTGTGAATATTCAAATTATGAGGCAACCTCTACACAGCAGACAATTTCACTGCCTGAGTGGTTGAGAGTAATTACACTTTTAGAAAAAGCCCCAAACAGCTTAAAGAACCAAAACATAGTAAGTACTATACTTTTAAGTAGAAGATTCTAGGGGGAGAGATAGGGAAAATGTAAGTTACATCTGTGAACAAGGTCAGTCTTATAATATTCGGAGACCCGAAACACAACTACAGCATAATAATATCCTTTAACCTCTTTCTCCACGTGAGAGAAAAACAGAAAAAAGCTTTTCATATTTGTTCTGACACTTCCTTTGGAGCAAAGTCAGAGGACTGAGAATCAGTAGGAAACTTCTCTGGAGATAGAGGATTTGAACCATCTGTCTTTAAATTTAATACTACTGCAGGACATCCACAGCTAAACTGTCTCTAAAAGACCAGTAAATGAAAACTCGGTAATTTTTAAAGCAGGTCAGTGAAAATTGGAAAGGTTAACAGAGGTTTTGTTGGGTAAAGTCGACTCAAGAGCCCAAAATGCAAGTTACCAGCTGCAAGAACAGGCACACAGACTTCAGTTACTCACCAGGTCATTCGGACTCTTCCCTTAAGAAAGGCCAGTAAGGCTTTAGGGATGGAAGACAATAGAGCACATAGACATTAGGGAACGTACCTTACGTCACAGTGAATTAGTGGCTAAACTTGGATAAAAAGTTGGGATTCCTAACTAACCACAGATCATGTGCTGTGTCATTAACCAGCAAGGTCTTAAGAGAATTTTACCCTCATCCAATGTTACTAATACCTCATGGGTGCTTAAGGAAAGACTCAATTGCTGACAATACTTCCAAAGATTATGGCTCTCAATCTTGGCTACAAAGCAGAGGAACCAAGGGAGCCTTTAAAGATTCTGATGCCCAGACCACACCCCAGTCCAATTAAATCAGAATCCCTAGGGGCAGGACCCAGAGATCACTACATTTTTAAAGCTCCCTAGGTAATTTCAATGTACAGCCAAAATCGAGAGCCCCAGGACTAGTCCTTAATAATACATATTTATAGTTTTACCATAATAAGAAACCTTTATCACATGTACATATATGCACAGCACATACGCCTTCACAGATGAATTAATAAATCATAAAGCCACATGTGAAAACTTAATACTGAAGTGAAATTTAGGTAATTACGTGTTCATTTTCAACTGTGAGACAAAATGCCTACAAACCCAAATCACATACACCCCTTCTTCTGATTTATCCCATTAATGCTCATGAAGGACAGACCTTGAAATCAAACAATCTGTTATTAGAGTGGGAATGTGGCTCTAGAAAATGGACATTTTGGATGAGTTATTCAAGCAAATTGGAAGTTGGAGAATCCCCGCATACCTGCGCTCTGCGTCGGAGCCAAGAGAGATGCTGCATCTGGGCATGGCTCAATGGCACACCAACTTTCTCGGTTTATCTGAAGAAAAAGAAAAAGAGATTGACCTTCAGACAGTGAAGTAGTGTGGGATGTTTATACAGCGGTTGCAAGTATATCTACCACACCAACACTCCTATCTTTTCCTTTAATATTTTATTGCAAAGTGGGTAAAATTATGTCAAGAAAAAACCTTTTTCACAACACAACAAGGCAATCTATACTCAATTAAGACTCTAAAGAAACTGTCAGTAAAAGTTAGGCATATAAAAACAAAAGGAAAAAAGATATACAAAGAGGAAGATCATGGTGCAGGCCAATGGTGAAATAAAAAAGAAAAATAAGTTAACAGGTGAAAAGGATCAAATATTGAAATATGCATTTCACATCCTAGGTTGCAACTCAGAAAATGCAAATATAATTCCTATTTGTTCAAGAATTACTGTATGTTGGGCATCAGGTTAAGAATTCTACATATATTATTGCATTTAATCCCCACACTAGCTCCAAGAAGTTTGTAATATCTCTATCCAAAGAACAGCTACGCTTAGAGGAGTTGCTAAGGTAATAAATGGCAGGACTGGGAATGGAATACAAACTTACGTGATTCTAAAGCATATTAAGAAGCACATACACCCGCCTTAAAACATTTTTTTAAAATTTAGCCTTTACAACTCCAAACCATCTTAACATTATGACTTTCTACTTTCATTAGATTAAAAATAATGTAATTTTTAAAACTACCATTAGAGATTTCAACAGCCCTCTCTCAGTAATTGATAAAACAGGTAGACACAAAATCTGCAAGAATATACATAAAGAACTTGGAAAACATCATCAACCAATTTGATTTAATCAACATATACTGAGCCTTTTACCCAACAATAGAATATACATTCTTTTCAAATGCACATGGTATGTTCACCAAGATAGAATATATTCTGTTGTATAACACAAGTCTCAAATTTGAGGATTAAAATCATATTAAACATGCTCTTTGACCACAACAATATCAAATTAGAAACCAAAATCAAAAAGATATCTGGAAAAACCCAATATTTAAAAAAATTTTTAAAAAACTTCTAAAAAGAAATCTTAAGGAAACATTAAATAGCAGAAAATATTTCAAGCTGAATAAAAATAGAAATACCACATATGAAAATTTGTGAGATACAGCCAAAATAATGCCTAGAGCAAAATTTATAATATTAAATCCCTGTTTTAGAAAAGGAATGTCTCAAATCAGTGATCTAGGCTTCCACCTTAAGAACTTAGCAAAATTAACACAAAGCAAACATGATGAGTAAAACAAAGAGCAGAAATCAGTGAAAGAGAAAACAGAAAAATGAAATCAATAAGATCAAAAGCTGGATCCTTAGAAGATCAGTTTATTGATATCAGTAAAACTTTAACTAGATAGACCAGAAAAGAATTCTAAGTTAAAAATTACCAGTATCAAGAATTTAAAGGGGGACATCACTAAAGATCCTACAGACACTGAAAGGATGATAGGGAAATATCAATATTACGAACAAGAAATACAACAAGTTAGATGAAATGGAAGCATTTCATGAAAGACACAAACTACCAAAATTCTTTCAAAAAGATACAGATAATCTGTACACACTTATTCTATTAAAGACATTGAATACATAGTTTAAAACTTTCCTGTAAGGAAAACTCCAGGCCCAGATGACTTCAGAGGTAAATGGCACCATACATTTAAGGAAGAAATAATAGCAATTCTACACAAACTCCTAAGGAAAACAAAAGAGGAGGGAACAATATACAGCTCATTTTATAAGCCCAGCATTACCCTGACACCAAAACTAGACAAAGACGTAAGAAAATTATAAATCAATATCCTCAGGAACATAGGCGAAAAAATCCTGAACAAAAATTAGGAAACTGAATCCAGCAATATAGAAAAAAGATAAACATCGTGACCAAATTCATCCCAGTAAAGCAAGGTTGGTTTAACATTTGAAAATCAATTTATTAATAGACCAAAACCTCTCACAAACTAATGATTATCAAGAGATGCAGAAAAGAATTTGGCAAAATTCAACATCTAAAACTCATAGAACGCTGAAAACAGAAAGGAAATTCCTCAACCTGATAAAGGGCATCTATTTAAAAAATCCTGATACTTCACTCTGAGATCAAAAACAAGGCAAGAATGTCCACTCTCAGCACTGTTATTCAATAGGTACAGGTTCTAGCCAACGCAGTAAAGCAGAAAAAGAAATAAAATGCAAAGATGTAGAATAGAAGTAGTTACTACTTTATTCATAGATGGCATGATTATCTACGGAGAAAATCTCAAGGAATCTACAAAAATGCTACTAGAATAAACGAGTTTAGCAAAGCTGAAGGTTATAAAGTCAATGTACAAAAAAAAAATTAATACTAGTCCTATATATTAGGAGTGAACAATTAAAAATTAAAGTTAAAAACAAAAGTAATACAATTTACAATAGCATCAAGAAATATAAAATAATCAGGCATAAATTTAATAAAATATGAGTAATACCTGTACTCTAAACACTGCAAAACACTACTGAGAAAAATTAAAGCAGGCTTAAATAGAGACACCATGTTCATAGATCAGAAAACTCAATTCTGTTAAACTGTTCATTCTCCCCAATTCATCACTACTTGATCTCAAGACTTACTATATATAAAAGCTTTTTTGGGAGATTGGTTCAGGATGGCGGAGTAAAAGGACGTGTGCTCACTCCCTCTTGTGAGAGCACCGAAATCACAACTAACTGCTGAACAATCATCCACAGGAAGACACTGGAACTCACCAAAAAACATACCCCACATCCAAAGACAAAGGAGAAGCCATAATGAGACAGTAGGAGGGGCACAATCAATAAAATCAAATCCCATAACTGCTGGGTGACTCACAAACTGGATAACACTTATACCACAGAATTCCACCCACTGGACTGAAGGTTATGAGCCCCACATCAGGCTTCCCAACCTGGGGGTCCGGCAACGGGAGGAGGAATTCCTAGGGAATCAGACTTTGAAGGGTAGCAGGACTTGACTGCAGGACTTGGACAGGACTGGGGGAATCAGAGACTCCACTCATGGAGGGCACACACAAAGTGGTGTGTGCATCGGGACCCAGGGGAAGGAGCAGTGACCCCATACTAGACTGAACCAGACTTACTTGTTAGTGTTGGAGGGTCTGCTGCAGAGACGGGGGTGGCTGTGGCTCACCGTGAGGACAAGGACACTGGCAGCAGAAGTTCTGGGAAGTACTCCTTGGCGTGAGCCCTCCCAGAGTCTGCCATGAGCCCAACCAAAGAGGCGAGGTAGGCTCCAGCATTGGGTTGCCTCAGGCCAAACAACCAACAGGGAGGGACCCAGCCCCACCCATCAGCAGACAAGCAGACTGAAATTTTACTGAGCTCTGCCCAATAGAGTAACACCCAGTGCTACCCACCACCAGTCCCTCCTATCAGGACACTTGCACAAGCCTCACAGATAGTCTCATCCATCAGCAGACAAGCAGACTGAAGTTTTACCGAGCTCTGCCCAAAAGAGCAACACCCAGCGCTACCCACCACCAGTCGCTCTTACCAGGAAACTTGCACAAGCCTCATAGATAGCCTCATCCACCAGAAGAAGCAAGAAGAACTACAACCCTGCAGCCTGTGGAACAAAAACCACAATCACAGAAAGACAAGATGAAAGGGCAGAGGGCTATGAATCAGATGAAGAAACAAGATAAAACCCCCAAAAAACAACTAAATGAAGTGGAGATAGGAAACCTTCCAGAAAAAGAATTGAGAATAATGATAGTGAAGATGATCCAGGACCTCGGAAAAACAATGGAGGCAAAGATCAAGAAGATGCAAGGAATGTTTAACAAAGACCTAGAAAAATTAAAGAACAAACACCTAGAAGAATTAAAGAACAGAGATGAACAATACAATAACTGAAATAGAAAATACACTAGAAGGAATCAATAGCAGAATAACTGAGGCAGAAGAACGGATAAGTGACCTGGAAACAGGATGGTGGAATTCACTGCCACGGAACAGAATAAAGAAAAAAGAATGAAAAAAAATGAAGACAGCCTAAGAGACTTCTGGGACAACATTAAACACAACATTCGCATTATAGGGGTCCCAAAAGGAGAAGAGAGAGAGAAAGGACCCGAGAAAATATCTGAAGAGATTATAATCGAAAACTTCCCTAACATGGGAAAGGAAATAGCCACCCACGTCCAGCAAGCGCAGAGTGTCGCAGGCAGGATAAACCCAAGGAGAAACACACTGAGATGCATAGTAATCAAACTGGCAAAAAAAAAGACAAAGAAAAATTACTGAAAGCAAACAAAGGAAAAATGACAAATAACATACAAGGGAACTCCCATAAGGTTAACAGCTGACTTCTCAGTAGAAATTCTACAAGCCAGAAGGGAGTGGCATGACATATTTAAAGTGATGAAAGGGAAGAGCCTACAACCAAGATTACTCTGCCTGGCAAGGGTCTCATTCAGAGTCGATGGAGAAATCAAAAGCTTTACAGACAAGCAAAAGCTAAGAGAATTCAGCACTACCAAACCAGCACCACCAAACAACAAATGCTAAAGGAACTTCTCTAAGTGAAAAACACAAGAGAAGAAAAGGACATACAAAAACAAACCCATAACAATTAAGAAAATGGTAATAGGAACATACGTATCGATAATTACCTTAAAAGTGAATGGATTAAAATGTTCCAACCAAAAGACACAGGCTTGCTGAATGGATACAAAAACAAGACTCATATATATGCTGTCTACAACAGACCCACTTCAGACCTAGTGACACATTCAGACTGAAAGTAAAAACTCTCCAGAAAGTGGGTACAGAGGGAATCTACCTCAACATAATAAAGGCCATATATGACAAACCCACAGCAAACATCATTCTCAATGGTGAAAAACAGAAAGCATTTCCTCTAAGATAAGGAACAGGACAAGGATGTCCATTCTCACCACTATTATTCAACACAGTTTTGGAAGTCCTAGCCATAGCAAT